TACCACCCCAATCCAACACACACCATATCATTAATTTGTCGAATCAAATAAATTGATCTATGTGAGGCAAGAAAGACAAAATTAATATAATGTATGTGTGTTTGATTTATTCTTCGATTCAATAATTTTCTATTTTGGGACCAAATGAATTATTGGTTTGATCATTATGGATCAGTTAATACGTTGTACGTAAACATAAAAACAAACAAAAAACGGGCCCAACACAAGTCTAGTTTTTTCCCTTTCCTTTTTTAATCTTTGTTGTTTTTATTTGTAAAATCTTTTACTTCTCTCCCATTCACTGATAAATATAATGATTTAAATAATGAATAACCCTTTCAGTATATTTGCCGATGCAAAACTACAGTCAAACAAAAAAAATTGCATTAATGATTTATTATTCAATTCTCAATTTTACTGCTCTGCTTTGTTTATATTTTATTTTTGCTTCATTTGATTCTCTCTCTCTATCTATGTTTCTGTTTTGCTCATTATTATTTATCTGTTTATTGGTTGATAATGATGATAATATCATGATCATCATAATCGAACCACACATAAGTACAGTGAAACGTAAAATGAACTCAGGATTTTGTTTTTCCGATTTTTCGTTATTTTGCTATTTTTAGTTTTGTTTTCACATCCACACACACACAACAAAACATAACAAAAAGAAACTAGGGTGAAATAAAGATAAAAATATAACTTTTTTGATTAATTGATTGATTGAAATTTAGTGATGATAATAATGATAATTGATGGTCACATTATTATTATAATCCATGACATTCATTGCTACACTATTTGGTTGATTTTCTCTCCTCGTAAATTGGTTTGAAAAAATGCTAATCATATGATTAGATTTGATTTTTTAAAATTTTGAAATTATAAATTTTCAATGTCATCAACGGATTAAATAGAATGGAAAAAGTATACTAGTTGTTACTTGGTGAATGTTATCAATGTTGATAATCAATGTTTCTTCTTTTTTGTTTGTTTGTTAATAATTTCAATTTATCAATTATCGAATGAATGAAAAACTGGTATTTTATTCGTTTTTTGTTTGTCATTGAAATGATTTTCTCCTTCATTCAAATCAATTAGTTTTCAATTAAGAATTTGTGCGTTTTATTTGGCTGGCGCTGCTGCTGAAGTTGCTTGATAATAATAAATATTGATTCAATTTTGTATTAGTAAAATTTGTCAAATTATCAAGGCTAATTAATTGCAAACAAAAATTATTTCTGCCATTTTCTTTTTTTAATTGCTTAGCAAAATAAAACAAATAACAAAACTTTGCTGGATTTCATCATGAGCATCGTTTATTATCAAGGTTTTAATTGAAAACAAAAACATTAGAAAAATTTCCCCTTGACCATTTTTCTCGATAATGATGATAATTCATTTGAAAATTCTTTTATCAATAAGTTTTTCTTAATTGAAAAAAATATCCATTTCAAATTAAAATGAAATCAAACCACAACCACCAAATAACATCATCAATTCAATTTGGCGATTGAGTGTGAATCATGGTGTGAATCAACATTCAATCACACATATGGTCACAAGACGATTGAAAGAAAACTAAATTTGAATGTTGTTGTGGTTTTGGAAATTGAAAAACAAAATTTTTATTCCATGTAAAAACCCCAAGCAAAAACTTGATTTTTTTCCACATTCATATGACGTAATGTGATAAAGTGTGTGATGATGATGATGAAGTTGAATTGCATTCGTCAATTCTTTGAATGTTAGAAACGGATTTTTTGGCATTGATGCGAGGGTGTTTGATTCTTCAATTCATCGATTCTTTTATTGTTGATGGTGATTTTTTTCAGTTGTCATTGTGTGTGTGTTTTCTTTTCTTTTCTTTTGGTTTGACAGGGAGAACAGAAAAATGAAATGCATACATTCCAATCATTTTTCTATTTCCATTTCAGCCAATATATCAAATATTGATGGCTATCGAGAATTTATTATGATTATTCATAAATATTTGATTGATTGGTCATTGTTGGAAAAGTCAATATTTTTGTTTGTCATTGGAAATTATTGAAATGAAATTGTCCGTAAGAAATTCTTTTTGTTGGAAATTCGAAATGGCTGGAATAAATGATGAAGAAAAATCAAAGATATACCAAACACTGGTACTACATTGTTTTTTTCAAATTTCAAATAAAAAAATGATTATTATTCAAATTAATCATCAACAATTGAATTTGATATTATTGAATTTAGTGCATAGCTAGTTTTATTTGGCGGTACAACCAAAAAATTCCTGATTATGCGGTTTTTTCATTCAATAATGATGATGAGATGATTGAACAACAACAAAAATCATCATTATCATTCAACAATAAATGATGATGATGATCATTATTATGATAACAGACTCTGCTAGTTGTTGTAATGCGAGTTTCTCTTATTATTATTAAAATATAAGAAAATATATTTACTAATTTTTATTACAACACACCCTTATATTCACTTATCGACACTCAAGATTTGCTGATATGTTCAGAAAATCTTGTTGGTTGTTGTTGTTGATCACCTCCTTCTCTTTATGAGTAGAATTTTTTGCAATATAGTTTGTTATTTCCGATTATGAAAATTGATTATCACAAATTATTATTATGACAAGAATTATAGAGATAATCAAAACAGCCATTTCATCAATTACTATTTTTAGATTTTTTTATAAATGATGAATGGCTCATTGTCAAATATTTATCAAAAAAAAAATCAAACGAGCAACGGAAACGAGACTAGCCGGAACCGATCAGACAAGTTTCAAATTTCAAGAATTGAAACGAAACGAAATTCTTCAGAATTCGCATGTTTACAAATCTAACATTGATTTTTTTGGGGAGAGAAATTTTTTATTGTTTGCTTTAACCGACACACACACAGAGAGAGAAGGATGGTGATGATAATAAAAGTGATTGCCAGTGTTTGATGGCAGCAACAACAAAAAAATTCATCCCAAAACACTAGCCACGTATACAATTTTCACTTTTCTGTTTCTTTATTTTTTGTATATTTGCCTTGGATTCGATTTGTTTCTTATGTTTAAAGGAAAATAGAAGAATAACACAACAAAATGAAAAATCAACAACAACAACAACTGAAAAAACATCCAAACTGATGGACCAATGATATATGGAGATAGGGAGATATAGAAAAGTGGAAATGATAATAAAATCAACATATATCCTTATCAATGCAATAATGATAATGATGATAATCATAACAAGAATAAATCGATCTCAATCCACACTCCCTGTTTCCACAAAGAATTGTACGTGAAGAATTGCCCAACCTGTATCTCATAACCATCATGATGGACATAAAAAATTGAGGAAATAAAAAAACTATGATAGAACATCCATTATTTTTTGCCCTTGTTATTATTATTAAAGAAAATAATGTCGAGAAAAACGTGAAAATTTTTCTTTCTTTTTTCTGACCATTTTGTGAAAGCACCGAGAAAATATCAAAGTAAAAATGGGAATATAATTTTCGAGGCGGTGGTGATGGTAGTAGTGGTAATGTTTTTGAAATGAACAAAACAAAATTCCATCAATTTTTCTTCACATATTTTTTCCTTGTTTCTCGTCTATCTAGTCATTTCCGTTAAAGTTTATGTTTTTCTCTAAAATACCTCATCATCATCATCGATAACAACGATTTCTGTTGTCGATGATATATTTACACACATCCCAGGCAAACAAATAACACACACCAAAACCCAATCACCCAAACACACACATCAAGAATCGTCCGAATCAATAGCCCAAATCAAGAAGAAAAAAATTTGAAAAATTCTCTCATTACCATCACAACCGTACATACATACATAGACCAGACATACATTCCATAATCATTCTCAACTTTTTTTCTGCTTTGTTTTGCCCCAGTCTACAGTGAATGAATCTATGTGATATATGATGTTTGCGTGGGTGTTTTTGGGTCCTGTTATTTTTTCTTTTACTCTCTCTTTCTTTGGGTAATCTATATATATCTATAGATGGCCAAATGAAACAAACAGAATCATTCTGTTCTCGATTCTTTTTGGTTGTTGGATCTGTGAAAATAATAATGATAATGATGATAATGTTCGAGTCAATATAAAATGTTCTACCACTACTACCACTATTACCTAATATTGATATGGGTATGTGTAGTTGACAACAACCAAACATAATCATCAACGTCATTAATATGATCATGATCATCATCATCATCAAACAACAACAACAACAATAACAATATTTTCACCCTTGGAACTATGAGGGGGAAAATTATTACACCTACTACAATATCCAATCCAATGGATCTACATACACAAACTGGAGAGAAATTTACTGGATTGAAGAAATAAAACTTGCATTACACTGAATAGAGGACCATCATCATTATCTAACTTTATAACAAATTCATAGATATTCTATTCTATTTCAACCTCAACAAACGCATCTGGTTGTATCTATCTTATAGCTATATCTACCCAACCAATCTACACATACATATACATCTTTTTTCAGTATAAATTCAAGAATCTAGAGATGCAAAAAGAAAGTGTATAAGGAAGAGAAAATATTACAACACGAAAATCAAAACCCAGAGAATGAGATGAAATCTCATATTGTTAACTTATTTGTATGGTTGGAAATTTTTTTCCAAATTCTCTATCCATGAGAATCACTTGACGCCATACATTATTCTGAAAATGATAATAATCATTTTGAAAATGTAATGAATTGAGTCGAATCCATATCCAGTCGATGTGTATGTGTAATATCAAAATTAAGATGCTATACACACACACACAGTGTATATATAGATGGCAAATTATTTCAACAGGAAAAAACATTTATTTTTTTATTTTTGAAAGATACAGACGCACGCAGATGTTTCTGTTTTTTGGGATATGTGTTCGTACATTCAATATTTGGGCGCCAAACATTGAACATCATTCCATTCCATTCATTCATCCGTCTTAATGAAACAGAGAAATTAAATTAATGTTGTTGTTGTTGTTTCTAGTCTGTTCAATTTAGTTTAATTTTTTAATTTTGCATATAAAAATTTCAGAGTCAAAGAGTTTTGTCAAGTTATGAAGAAAATACCTTTTTTGTTTGAACATTGTATATGTGTCTGTTGTAAATTTGTTATATAAATTGAAAATTTATTCAAAACCAAAATAATTTTCAAACAACAACAACAAGTGATTTCTACCACAAATGACAATTGAAACCAAGGTGCAAAAATGAGCCTTAATACAATTTATCTAAATGTTGGTGGTCAAAAATACACCACAAAAAGAGAAACATTACTATTTGTACCAGAATCACGTTTAGCATCATGGTTTCGTACAACAACAAATGATAATTGTAACAAGATAAAATCCATAAATGCATCATCATCATTACCATTACAATTGCCATCATCAACAACAACAACCACATCATCAACATCTACAGCATCATCATCAACATCATCATCATCATCAGCATCATCGACAGTAACGGCAACGTTATCCAATATAGATGATGTAATCAGTAAAGATTGCAAGGTATTATTAATATGATGATGCTATTTACTTATTTATTTCACATAAAGATTCAGGTGTCATTAACTATTTGCTGTGGAAAATGTCTATACATTATTTAGTTTTATACCTTAAGTCTGTACGTGCATGCTTTCTGGATCATTATCATCATGATGCATGTGTAGAAGGAAAATACATTTATTTACAAATCAAATATATTTTTCTCATAACCAACAACAATCATTCCATTCAATGATTACTATTTAAAGATGTGTGAATATTTTGATTTTTGTTTTCCTTTGTCAATGTTTACATTTTTCTAGCCATAAAAAACAACCATTTTCACCCACATCAGGATAACGTGACAAAATTATTAAATTGGTTTACAAATATTTATTCATTGGCAAGTGAAATTTCTATTGCAATACTTTCTAGAATCGATGATGATAATGATAATGATGACATTGTTAATGATTGTCATTCCAGTTGTATTGTCTTTTCATATAATGATCATCATTTTCCTTTCTCTACCCTTCTCTCCTCTCCATTGTTTATTATCGGATTAAAACGGTGGAGAAATTTTCTATTTAAAAATGTCAATTTCCTTTTCTATGGAATTACTAAAAAGAGAGCGCTTAAGTTACCTTTTTTCTAAATTTTGTTTTTATTTTTGTTAGCACTATACTTTGGGCCTGACTAATAAATTCTTACAAAGATAAAATATATATAATTTTCGAAATATAAAATTTGAAAAACAATGGAAATCAGTCAGTTAGTCATTCATGTCAAGTCATTTGCACAGTGAGGAATGTTCAACCTGATAATCATATTGATATCAGAGGAAAAAAACATAAAATTTTCCGAAAGAAATGGAGTAACTAGAAAAAAAACTTTTCATGAATATATGGGAAAAATTCCTGAAAAATTGAATAAGATTTACAAGTAAGGATAGGAACTGAAATTCAAAACTTGCATCTTGAAAAATCTCCTATCTACTTTATCATCATCATTGCTGTCATTTTATTGAAGGGGCCATGTATGTTGTATGTGTAACATGTTATGTAATGTAATATTTTGCTACTACATACATGGTATATGATTGTAATAAATCATTTTTCTTTGAATTCAACAACAACATCACAAAAAAGAAAACAAAAAATTAACTTTTTTTTGTTGCATTTCATCTTTCGTTTTTGTTGTATGGATCAGAGAATTTTGTTTGCAAATGCATTATACACTTTTTGTTTTGTTTAGAATGAATAAAACAAACAAAGTGATAAGATTTTTTGTTTTTCCACAGAATCTATTGGCATAATGAATATAGTGTGTGTGGGAAAGTGTGAAAACAATAGATAACTTGATTTGAATTGAACAAGAATCTAATGAAAGATTGATTTGATTTATCTATTTTTTAAAAATTATATATTTGCCATTCAAATGATCGGGATGGAAACCAAACCAAACTAAAACAAACCTCAATTGGAAAAGGGGCGATTCGTGATAGATCGTGATGGTTGCCTATTTCGACATATATTAAATTATTTACGCAATAAAGGCATGGTAACATTGCCTGAACATTTTATGGAACATCGTTTATTACGTATTGAAGCCGAATATTATGGTCTGGATGATTTAGCTAAAGCAATGATTTCACCGATGCCACGCTCACCAATATTAACCAATAATAATGGCAGTAGCCATGGTGGTTATGGCATTGTCAAAGGAACTGGTGGCCCCGGATTCATTACTGTTGGTTATCGTGGTTCATTTGCATTCGGTCGTGATGGATTAGCTGATGTGAAATTTCGAAAATTGACCAAAATTCTTGTATCTGGCCGTGTAGCCTTATGTCGTGAGATTTTTGGTGATACATTGAACGAATCACGTGATCCGGATCATTGTGACGATGACAATCGTTATACGGCTAGATTTTTTCTCAAACATTTATGTCTTGAACAGGCATTCGACTGTCTACAGGAAGCCGGTTTTCATATGGTTGGTTCATGTGGTTCAGGTACATCCAGTACACCGGCAAATGAACCGGTCAAGCCGGGTATCGATGCTGAAGAAACACGATGGAATCATTATAATGAATTTGTATTTTGTCGTCCATAAATGATATATTTTATATTTAACAGATTAACTATTAGAATTACAATTCATTATTCAATGATAACCAAACCAAAACTATTTCATTCCGCCAATTACCAATAACAACAACTACCAAAATTCTCATTACTCAATCTATCAACACCAATCTTTCAATACATAACAATTACATGCATAAATAATAAACATATTTCTATTTTACAATGCTCCAGATAAACAAACCAATTCTATTGCAGATTACAGCTATATACTTTTCAATAAAATTCAATCATTTCATTATTTTCAATCCATTCAATATTTCAATTATGACCACAAACAGAGGAGAGAATTTTCTTTTCATGTCCGCGCTGCCATCTATTGTTGAAAACTGGAAAATTAGTGTGAAAAATTTTCATTGAAATTGCTATGATAAAGAAAAAGAATGGTGAAAAATAACGACAACAACAAATGAAAAAAAGATTTTATTTTTCGAATTGAGAAAAAAAGTTCAAAATCTTAATCAAATTACAATTCAGGAGTAAACGAAAAAAAAATTTCAACAGCAACAATGACAACAACATAAATAAAATGAGTAAAACAGAATTTTTTTAGAAAAAAAGAAACTCTTCACATCATTCAGAAAGGAAAATGATGTGTAAATTAATCAAATCAAAAGGGGAATGAAAAATGATGAACTGGATTCAATCAATGCAATCATCAAATGCATTTCTGGCCAATTTATTTTCTCATTCAATTCAAATCTCACTCACATATTGTGTTGTTCACTGGACAAATTCAAAAAAGAAACACATCTTGAATAATAAGGTTAATTTAAGAAAGTAAGGAAATGAATCAAGAGAGAAATCAAAATTCCAGTTAAAGGTAAGAGTGTGTTTAGCTCATTTATCAATTCTGTCGAATGATGATCATGATGAAAAGAAATTCATTAACAAACACACACAAACGATGCAAAAAGAAAATCAAGCGAATCAGAAATTCATCTATATGAGACAATTCTAGAAAGCAACTCCTTATATTATCTAATCCATTTTATGATTCGAAACACACACACACACTTGATTAATTAATTGAATGAATATTTGTTTTAATTAACGAATTAATGGTGATGATAAAGATCTAAATCCCTCAATTTTCTTGGATTTGGTTTGACTGGCTGGTTGGCTTGCTTTTTGCTCATTCTGAATGTTAATAATAAAGATTTGTTATTGAAAAATTCGATTGTCTTTAATTGTATTTGTTCATTTTTAATGTTGTTGTTGATGTCATTTTAATTGGCTGCTACACATTGTTCATATGGTGGGGGAAATGGTATGATACCACCGGGACCCGGTAAACCAGATTTGTTAGCTTTTTCATTGAAATCAGTATCAATTTCACGTGCAGCTTGACGACCCTCATGTATAGCATGCACGACCAATGATTGTCCACGGCGACAATCGCCAGCTGAATATATACGTTCGATCGGTGTACGATATGAATTTGGTTTGGTCAATATATTCGAACGATTATCCTTGGTCAGATTAAGCTGTTCGATGATTGTGGATTCTGGTCCAAGAAAGCCCATTGCCAATAGTACAAGATCAGCCTGATCATAATTGATTGCAATTATTATTAGTAGCCAATTTGTATAAAATATTTGCTTACCTTGAATGTTAATTCAGTGCCCAAAACTTCATTCATAACCCAGCCACCTTTATCGTTTTTGGTCCAACTAACGCGTACAGTATCAATACCGGTGATATTGCCATTATCATCTCCGATAAATTTTTTGCTTGAAATTTCATAGATGCGTGGATCATCATTCCAACGTAGTTTAGCCTCTTCATGTCCATAATCGATACGATATATTTTAGGCCATTGTGGCCATGGATTATCTTCAGCACGATCTTTTGGTGGTTTCGGAAGTATTTCGAATGCCACAACATTTTTAGCTCCCTATATGCAAAATATTTAATTCAAGCAAAAAAAAACACATCCAAACATACCTGTCGTAAAGCTGTACCGATACAATCGCAACCGGTATCACCACCGCCAATAACAATGACATTTTTATCTTTTGCCGTAATGGGATGATCGAATGAATTCTGCCATAATTTTTGTTGACTACTACGTAGATAATCAACAGCAAAATATATTCCCTTCAATTCGCGGCCAGGTATTCGAAGATCACGTGGCCATGTTGCTCCTGTAGTCAAACATATAGCATCATATTGTTCAAGCAATTCTTGTCCAGTAATATCGACACCGACATTTGTACTTGGTTTAAACATTATACCAGCATCGCTCATTAGATCGATTCGTCTTTGCAAAACTTGTTTGGAAAGCTTCATTGTTGGAATTCCATACTGAAGAAGACCCCCAATACGATCTTGTCGTTCATAAACACTAACAGTATGGCCAGCCTTATTCAATTGATCAGCACAGGCAAGACCAGCCGGTCCAGAACCAATTATGGCAACTTTTTTGCCCGAACGGTATTTTGGTGAATTGGATCGTATCCAACCCTGTTCGAATGCATATTCAATTATCGATACTTCGATTGTTTTGATTGCCACTGGACTATCGATAATGCCCAATGTACAGGAGCCTTCACATGGTGCCGGACATACACGACCAGTAAATTCTGGAAAGTTGTTTGTCTGTAATAATTGTTTCAAAGCTTCATACCAATCATTCTTATGGACAAGGTCATTCCATCGTGGTATTATATTGCCCAATGGACAGCCATGTGGTGATTGACAAAATGGCACACCACATTCCATACATCTAAAAAAGAAATCAATTTTTGTCAATTTCAAATATATTTTCAATCAATATAGTTTCGATACCTTGAGGCTTGTACGCGAACATTTTCCCGAATAGCTCTAAAATCATAAACTTCATCCCATTCTTTGACACGTTTGTCGGTATTACGATAATAGGTTTTGATTCGTTTATATTTCATGAAACCTTTCAATTTATCCAATTTGGTAAGATCGGGTACAATATCTTCGATATCCTTCGGTGGATCACATGGTGTGGTAGCAGGACTAGCACGACGGCTAGGTATCAAAGGTTTTTTGAGTTTCATATCTTTGAGCACACGTTGATATTCATAAGGGAAAACTTTAACAAATTTATTCAATTCATTTTGCCAATCATTCAATATACGTTCGGCTACTTTGGAATCGGTTTTCTCCCAGAATTCATGAATCAATTCTTGTAATTTCGTTATATCTTCATCCTCTTCCATTGGCAACAATTCCACCATTTCAAGATTACATCGTCGATTGAATCGTCCATCGCTTTTATTAAAAATGAAAATGAAATATTTATTCATTTCAATAACCAAATAATACTTACACATCATAGACATAAGCAATACCACCGCTCATACCGGCAGCAAAATTACGACCAGTTAGACCAAGAACAACGACAATACCACCGGTCATATATTCACATCCATGATCACCAACACCTTCAACAACGGCCGTTACACCGGAATTTCGTACACAAAAACGTTCGGCAGCAATACCACGGAAAAATGCTCGGCCAGAAGTAGCACCATACAAACTAACATTACCGACGATAACATTTTTATCCGATTCAAATTGTGGCGGTGAATTTTTAGGCGGATAAATAATAATTTCACCTCCGGATAAACCTTTACCAACGTAATCGTTACATTCACCTTCAAGTGTAACAGTTACACCTTTCGCAAGAAATAAACAGAATGATTGTCCAGCAGAACCTTTAAGGTTAACAATAATAAGAGTTTTCGGTAGGCCATCCTCACCATAACGACGAGAAATATGATAGCTAAGTGTTGCGCCAAAGGCACGATCTCTATTGCTGATTTCCATTTCAATATGAACTGGCTGTAAAAAGTTACCATCAATAATTTCCTGTGATAATTCTATTAATTTATTATCCAATCGTGTTTCCAATTCAAAATCTTGTCGAACCGAACCGCCAACAATATTTGTTTCCGGTCGCAAGGAAAGGGCATTACAAAGTAACAATGTATAATCCAAAAGTGATGCTTTTGGATTACGCGGATTGGGCGTAAAACGTAATAGCTCAGTACGGCCAACCAGATTCTGAAAACGACGTATGCCCAATTTAGCCATCTCTTCACGTATTTCTTCGGCCAATAAAAACAGGTAATTTATTACATGTTCGGGTTGTCCTTTGAATTTTTTACGTAATTCTGGATCCTGTGTAGCCACACCAACTGGACATGTATTTAGATGACACTTTCGCATCATAATGCAACCTAAAGTAATTAATGGTGCTGTGGAAAAACCGAATTCATCTGCACCCAACAATGCAGCAGTGATAACATCTTGAGCAGTACGTATCTGGCCATCGGCTTGTAAAACAACACGAGATCGTAGATTATTGGCGACTAGAACTTGATGCGTTTCAGAGATTCCCAATTCCCATGGCAGACCAGCATTTTTAATACCGGTCCATGATGAAGCACCAGTACCACCATCATGGCCGGATATTGTAATATGTTCAGCTTTACCTTTAGCAACACCAGCTGCTACAATGCCCACACCAACTTCCGATACAAGTTTCACCGAAATACGTGCATTTGGATTTGCACATTTAAGATCATAGATCAATTGGGAGAGATCTTCTATTGAATAAATATCATGATGTGGTGGAGGTGATATAAGACCAACACCAGGTACTGAATGTCTTGTTTTGGCTATTTCCACCGATACTTTATGGCCAGGCAATTCACCGCCTTCACCTGGTTTAGCCCCTTGTGCCATTTTGATTTGCAATTCATCAGCATTGGCAATATATGCCGAGGTAACACCAAAACGTCCACTTGCAACTTGTTTGATAGCCGAACGTCGATTATTATCCGCATCTTTGATTAGCCATCGTTCAGAATCCTCTCCACCTTCGCCAGTATTGGATTTGGCGCCCACACGATTCATCGCTATAGCTAATGTTGTATGCGTTTCATATGATATTGAACCGAATGACATTGCACCGGTTACAAAACGTTTGACGATACTTGTTGCCGGTTCAACTTCATCCAATGGTACAGCTTTTGATGCATAAACAAATGTCATCTGTCCACGTAATGTGCAATCTTTGACCTGTTCATGAGTATAATCAACAAACTGTCGATAAGCATTACGTGAATTTAATGTAGCTGCTTCTTGTAGTGTAGCAATGGCCATGGGATGATTGATATGCTTTTCGCCGCCATGACGCCAATGATAAAAGCCCGGATTACGAAGTATTAATTGATCAATAAAATATTGTTTATTGAATGCAATCGAATGTCGTTCCAATACTTCATCGGCTAATACGTTGAAGTTGATACCACCGATACGAGATGGCGTATTTTTGAAACAAAAATCAATAACTTCTTCACCCAGACCAACAGCTTCAAATATTTGTGCACCTTTATACGAATGGAGTGTTGAAATACCCATTTTAGCCATAACTTTAGCAATACCACGTTCCATTGATAGAAAATAATTTTTGAATGCTTCCAAATCGGTCAGTTGTATGATACCTTCTTCACGTAAAGCGGCAACAGTTTCGAAGACCAGGTATGGACAAATAGCATCGGCGCCATAACCCAATAATACACACATATGATGTACTTCACGTGCTTCACCCGATTCAACAAATAATGCCACTTTCATTCGTTGTCGTTCATTGATGAGAAAATGATGTGTAGCACCTAATGCTAATAACATTGAAACTGGTACAAACTGGGGACCAGCCATACGATCACTAAGCACAATTATTGTATAACCATTGCGTGCTGCATCACAAGCTTCACGACGAATTTGATCCAAACGTTTGCGTAGACCAGGACGGCCATCTTTGACGGGAAATACACAATCAATCACTTTGGTACGCCATCCTTTATAGCTTGTTTGTTTGACCACTTCTAGATCATTGATTGATAATATTGGCTGTGTTAACCATAATCGACGACATTGCTCGGCTGATGATTCAAGTATATTGGCTTCAGGTCCAACTGGACATGCTAACGACATGACAATTTTCTCACGTATCGGATCGATTGGTGGATTAGTGACTTGGGCAAATAATTGTTTAAAATATCCATAGATCAAGGGTTGATATAGCGATAGACAGGCTAATGGTTCATCATTACCCATTGAACCAAGTGCCTCTTTCTGGGTGCGAACCATTGGCAAAAGCAATAGATTGATTGTCTCGGTTGTATAGGCAAACAATGGCAATCGACGATCTTCAAGTACTTTTGCTCGTCTTTCAATCTCTTCTTCACTACGGCCTTCCAATAGTACAGCTTTTCGTTTGAAAGAACCATCTTTTGCCAATTTCGATACCGTATGTGCTTCACGTAGATCTTCAATGGTGAACAATTCTTTCAGCCATTCAGCTAGTGGACGTTTTCGTGCAATTTTCAATTTAATCTCTTCATCTTTTACCATAATTTTTTCTTCGGTATCGATCAACAGCATACGACCGGGTTTTAGTCGGCCCTACATTAGGTGAATGCAATAAAAGAATAGTTTTGATATTAATATTTCTATTAATAATAGTTAATTATAACTTACCCGAGCCACAATTTCCTCGTTTGGAAAATCGACGACACCCACTTCGGAAGCCATAACAACATGACCATCTTCAGTTTGATAGAAACGTGCTGGTCGTAAACCATTACGGTCCAAAATGGCACCAATATAACGACCATCGGTAAATGTTAATAATGCAGGTCCATCCCATGGCTCCATAGCACAACCGGACCATTGATAGAATAATCTCTTTTCCGGATGCATTTCGCCATCATTTTGCCATGCTTCGGGTACCATTGTCATAACAGCTTCCGGTAAGGTGCGTCCACCAACAACAACCAAAAATTCCAAAACATTATCCAATGAACCGGAGTCGGACATATTTGGTTCAACAACTGGATACAGTTTTGATAGCTTTTTACCAAAATATTTACTTGACATGACACCTTCACGGGCACGCATTAGATTAATATTACCACGTAATGTATTGATTTCACCATTATGCGCAAGATAACGATTGGGATGGGCACGTTCCCATGATGGATAAGTATTGGTTGAAAATCGTGCATGTACCAATGCCAGATAGCAACTAAATTCCGGATCCCAAAGATCATCGAAATATTGCCACAATTGAGCTGGAGTGAATTGTCCCTAATAACATTGATTAGAATGCAATGATTCGATAATCATTCTATAGCTTACTTTGTAGATAATTATTTTTGTTGACAAACTGCAGATATAATAACGAAATCCTTCTTTCACCAATTGATGTGTGGAATATTTTCGTAATGCAAACAGCTTAACAGAGAAAATTGAGTTTTATTTACTTAAGCAAATGATAAACATACTTTACGTTGAAATTCTCGTTCATCAATATCGGTCTCAACTGATTCAACGAAAACTTGTCGCATTAATGGTTCCTGTGTGCGTGCCATTTCACCAATAACCGATGAATTTTTCGGTACTGTACGCCAACAAATAATGCGTAGTCCATTTTCATTTGCAATTGATGCAAATTTTTCCTCTACCTGCGTATTGGTAATTTTGTCTAAAAATAATATTCCAGTTGCATATTTGCCCGGTTCCGGTAGAATGATGTTATATGTTTCTCTGAATAAATCAATCAATTATGTATGAGGCATTTTATATAATAATCCATTTACTTGACTGTTTTTGAATAATATTCATAGGGTATTGATGCAAGTACACCGGCACCATCACCAGTTAGATTATCGCCAGATGTAGCGCCACGATGTTCCATACGATCACTGATTTTTTGTGCATCTCGTAAAAGCTAATAAAATCGTTTTTTGTTGGTTTAAATTTATTCATTAAGTCATCCAAATTCAATCAAATAAAAATGTTTACCTTTTGCGATGGTTTACCATGAATATTCACAATAAAACCAACACCACATGCAGCTTTTTCATCATTTGGATTCCAAAATGAACGAACATGTTGTTGTTGTTGCTTCAAATAATATGATCCATCATTATCATTGTTGTCATTGTTGAACCTCTCCGTCGAAGCCATTCAAGATAGAAAATCTTTTTTGTTGTTATTATCAAACAAAAACTGATGTAATATCAGAAAGTAGGGAAATTAACAAGAAAAAAATTCTGCAAAATAAACAAACACACACGGAGAAAAACTTTTAAAAGCCTAAATGAACTGTTTAAAAAATTAAAAGTGTGCTCAAATAACTAAAATGATTCAAATAAGGATGATGAAAAAGCCGGAAAAAATAATCAAATCGGACAACAAAACGAAAATGACTTTTCCTGGTGACAATGATGATGATGATGTTAATGGATGATATTACCGAATAGATGTTGATGTTGGGTTGGCGTCAACTATATAGAATTGGTAAGTGGAAGGAAACAAATTGAAACCGGATGAGAAAAAACAGAATTTAATTTTTTTTGTTTATTAAAATGAAAAAATGAAAATTCAAATCACATAAAATGTGTCAACGTGATTGGGTAAACACAAGACAAATTCAGTAGAATTGTATGAACAGCAGACAGTGTAAGTAAGTAAGTAAGAGAGAGAGAGAGAGAGAGAGTGCAATTTCTTTCAGTATTTCGTTCTCGACTATCGATTGAAGTTACAAATGAACGATTTTTTGGTTGAAAAAAATTGAGATTTTAAAATTAAAAAAATTTTTGTAAATGATGATGACAAGTGACCACCACCACCACCACAACAACTACATTAAACTCTCTCTCTCACAATGAACTGTGAATTTTATTTTTATTTTTTTTGAAAATTCAATAAGAAAAAAACGGTAGTGGTTACATTACAATATTAGCTTTCTATGGATAAATAAAATATATTTTTTTGGGCAGCCAGAAAAAATGAAATCAAGATTTTTAACTTTGATAAAGCATAGCAAAATTATTTATCAAAGAAAAAATGATGATGATGACAACATTCAACATGAAAATATCATATGTGTGTTATTTGCAAGATAGCGAAAGCACTGAAAATGTAAAAAAATCAAACCATTATTCACAAACAAGAGAGGGAGAGGATGAGACACATACCGAGAGAAAAAGACAGACAGATATTCTATGTAAATAGCCAGTCAGTCAGTCAGCCAGCCGGATAAAATTGAAATTTTAAAATTTTGTATGTTTGGTGATGCACTTGTGAAACCTGTCACACACAATCACATACACCGATAAATTCAGTGTTTTGTTAGTTGACCTTCAAAAAAATTGCAAATAAATGGATATTCCCGAAATTAAAATTATCATCTGGAGAAAAAAATTGATAGAATCTAATTTGGAAAATGATGATTTTAATTTATTTTGACAAAAAATTCAAAAGAAATCATCAACAATTATTGGAAACATAAACATGTCATTTACTGTGTTATTGTTGTTGGGAAACCATCTAAATCATAACATGATTGATGATGATTTTATGTAATATGGCACACACTCAATGATCCACTTGTTTTGCACAAGATTAATTTATATTTTTGTTATTCACAATTCTAATTAACCTGGGTGAAGGAAAATAAAATGAAACAAGAGAGAAAGTTTGGCAGCATTTTTCTTTTTGTTTCTGTTCGAACTTATCAACTCAATTAATCGATCGAGATCAATTAGTTGATAATTGAATTTGTTGCAATTTTGTTCAATAATTGATTAGCATCCTCATAAATATAGATTGTATATCAATACTTGGTTTGATAATTTTTTAGTTTTTCTTTTACAAAATGAATGACAAAAATTCAGATAACAAATATCTTTATTGAGATTTCAAAGTTTAATGATAGAAAATTGTTTCTTTCTTTGTAAGGAGAAAGAACATGTGACAACAACAACAAAATTTTCTTTCATTCCAAAATCTAAACTTAATTTAGTTTGGAAATGAGGAAATGATCGAATCATAATGTTCTGTTATTGATTCACTGTATCAATTTCTTTATAAGGCAATACCATTAACAATACAATGCAAAACGATATTATTATGAATATGAATAATGATCAAATATTTTATCATTTCTATGCAAATACCATTTTACTTTTTGCGATTCGTGCAATGATGATGATATTTATTTTTCAAATTATAAACACAATTCGGATGAGGATTGCAAAATGCAACAATCATTAATTAAATAGTCATTATTATTTTATAATTATAAATTATCGATTTGTTATTCCATTAGGTTCGAACAACCAAACCAAGTCAATAAAAACAACAACAATGTTTTTCGATGAAAAAATAAAAAATAAATGTCAAATGCACACACACCAGATAGAGATAAAGAATTTGTACTTTTTATTTTTCTCTAAAAATAGTATCATAAATACACTTGAGAATGATTCTGTGTGCCAGAGAGAAAGAGAGAGAGAATTGAGAATGTGGCCTGTTGTGTGAAAATGTGAAGACATTTATTAATATGCAAACATATAGATATTATGATGAAATAGACATAATGGAAATTTGAAAATTGAAAATAGATCCATCCATCATATTGATGAGGAAACTTTTTATAGAAACTTTTTCCAAAAATAATATAGACGTTGTTTGTGTTCAGGCTAATTTTATCAAATTTAAAGTTTTTTGTTTATTTGTGGAAAAAACAATAGTAAAAAAGGGTGATTCTAAAGTAGCTGCTGCTATTGATGAGAACATCAAAATTCTGGAACATTTGATTCCAAATACTAGACTCTTGAACAAATCAACCACTACCGAAAAAACTAAGAATTCTACATGCTGCTACTTCTTCTGCAGTACATATGATTTGCTAATAATAATAACAATAATAATCGACAGTCACTGTCCTTGGAACAACCAGAAAAAAATTATTTTTTTTTGATTATTTTTATTTTTATTTTACCACTTCACTTAACTTAATATCAGTGGAACGCTATAACTTCTGGAAAAGAAAATGAAAAAAATATCTGAGGGTATCTGATATCTCCACCAAGAAAAAGAATGTCGATAATAAAAGAAAAAACACCCACGCAGCAACAAGAAAAAAATCCAAAATGAACCAAGACTAGAACAAGAAAAAAATCTGACGCATATGACGTCAATGAGAATTCCGTCTCGGTTGGCCGTGATTAAAATGGATTCATTTTTTGGTGTGTATGTGTATTGACACTGACTGACATTTAAAAAAGCCGCTTTATGGTTATCATTAGTAATAGATGATAATTAATTATTTCTGTTCCAAACAAGCAAACTCAATTATGGTAACCAACAAAAAAAGCTAAATCTTTTCCGTAACCAATAAAAAGTTTATTAACATAATGAATTATGGCTTATTCATATAGGAAAAAATCTGGATCTTATCGAAAATGAAATTCTTTTCCAGATTGTCAATGTGAAAGAATCGAACAATTAGTGCCCGAATTTCAGTTTCAAATAAAGTAAATACAAAAAATGTTTGGCAATTTTGACTTTTTTTCGATATTAAAAAAATTGCGAAGAATTCTTTCAATCAATTTGCTCTTGCATAAGTGAATTCATTTCTTTGATTATGCTGTCTATTTTGTTTGTTTGTTCAGTTTATCAACAAACACAGTCGTATAAATCGAATTTTTTATTGAAATTTTTCAACAAGGAAAAAATTCCCTAAGATGATAATGTGATTGAGGCGAGAGTGACTGGCCAAAGTGGTTCCATTTTTTCGGCAAGTACACTTGACAAGCGTCTTGTTCCAAATTTTCAAAGTTTTGACATCATAGCTGGCCAAATATTGTGATTATTTGGATATGATCTATGCATATATAGGCAAGAAGCGATCATCGTCATAAATTCTTGTTTGTCATGATTCATGATCAAAAATCATTGCTTTTTCCATATATACTATGATGGATAATGTCAATCATAGATATTAAATATCATCATCATGACGATTCAAAAATATTTTGAAAGCAAATTATTGGTTTCCACAAAAAAAATCAAAACAAACTGAAAAAACGGTCAAACATTGAAAGAAATATTTCCCGGAAAAAATATATGCAAACAACCAGAACACTGAAACAAAGTTGATGCTTCGATTTTTCTTTATAAAAGCAAATTTTTGCCATTGTTTTTGCTGTTGTGTAAAGAATATTCTAACAACAACAAACAAACAAACATTTTGACTTACTCTTTCCATATCCATTTCAATTTCATTTTGATGACATTTACCATTAGCATTTAGTTATTTTGTTTTTTTCAATCATCAAATGTGAATTGTTGTTGGAGAGAAAGAAAAAAGTACAAGACTTGCTTGATGTTTGATCAGTAGACTTACAACTTTCGCTGATGCAGATAACAAAAGAGAAAAATGTTATGTAATATACATGTCTAGCTTTTGTCACATCGTCGTTTGTCTTGTTTTATTTTTTAGTCTTCTCTGTGTTGTTGTCGATAAAAAAATTTGCTTTTTTGGTCTATTTTTGGTTTGTTATTGTTGGCTTTCACAAAAATGTTCTTTTTGTGAAAGCTAAGAATATTATTTTCAATTCTCTTTTTCACTTGGCAATATAATCATTGATAATGTTTATTTATTTATCGATCGATCCAAATAACATAACACATTCAGATATTGAAAAGAATACAATTTTTGTGATTCCAGTTCCCCAGATAATATAATGATAACAATCTCATCGGATATTTATATTCTTTCCCTCATTTCTATTTCAATTGATATATTCATTTGAATTTTTTCTCATCGAATCAAATCTTAAATTTAGAATGGCATTATTTTATTATTTTATTATGGTCAATGTTTTTCTCTTTTTCACAATCATCATCATCCCATTCATAACCAAAATCATTCTGTTTCTCTCTTTGGGTTTCACTTTTTCCTTTCAGAAAAAATCAATATTTTTGCGAATAGTATTTGGGTGTATGTAAATAATGATTATTTTTCTTTCAATCGTTGTAACCGAGAAATGTTTTCGAAAAGTTTTTTTGTGAAATTGCGTTCATCATCAACAACATGATGATTTTTCATGAATTTAATCAAACAAAAAAGAAATGCCATATCATCATCAATATAGAATTTTTTAGATTGAAAATTTTCAAATTGCAATGAAATACAATGATAATTCTACAGTATTGTGTACAACTCAAACACAAAATGTCATCATCATAGATCAATGAAAATGAATAACATAAATTCCTGATGCTGTTATCTTGCAAATAATATGAATGATATTGACATTTTTGCTTTTCTGAAAAAATGTCAATTATTTGCCAATCATTATCATTATTGTTATTTTTAGCTAATTTTATTAAAAAAAAGAAAAAGATATCGATGAAAATTCCGATCAATCATTAAAAATTCCAATTAAATTCAATACTAAATGAAAGAAAGGTCGACATTGTCTGTCTGTTGTTACATTTGTCGCCGTCATGAGACAATGTTCATCTAGAATCTTATTCTTTGAAATGTTTATATTTCAAATAAATCCCGGATTAAAGAGTGGGAAGTGAATTTCAATTTTTTCTTTGAAAAGCAAACAAAAATTCAACATACCTGAATTGGAGAATTGAAAAATCAACCGGATTGAATGATCAAAAAATTTTTGAGAAAAGATTTTCACAATCAAAACTTAAGATAATGCTTTTGCTTTTGTCAATCGAACAAATGAAACATATAATAATATATTCAACAAAATAAGATGATAATATGATAAAACAAAAAACGGTAAACACATGTATAAATTGTAATGAAATATTATTTCAGCTAAACACAACAGCATTCAAGCAGAAGTGCAGATCTAGAAATGTTTTGAAAACTGCACTTTTCCTTTGAATTTTTCGTTTTCGATGATGACGATTACTTAGCGAGATAAATATTGATGTGTGACTATTTGCAATTCAATTCGTGCAATATTTGTTTTGCTTTTTCTAACTGTTGTTGTTTTGACTAGATATGCGACTGGCTGAATGAAACGGAATGATTCAATTCAAAATATTATTAGGATTCGGTTTAGTTTGTTTGTTAGTTTCTAACAACAACAACTATTTTTTTCATACTATCGGTTGTTGTTGGTTGGTTTATTTTGCTGCTATTCATTGTGTTCAGAATTTTGTTGTAATTTATGAAATATGGATTGTAGCGGTATAAATGAAAGGCAAGATTTTGCTTTTGATTCCTTTTGATTGTATAGTCAAAAGAATTATATGGGAATTCAGTAGAAAGAATGTATGTGTGTGTGTGTGTGTGGGCGAGGAAGCTTCCAGAAGTGCGCGAAAGAAATATTAGAGTTTGGCAGCAATATTATTCATCTTCATTTTTCTGTTATATATAGTTTTTGTTGTTGTTGTCTAATTCACTGAATTGGGTAATACTAGAAAGTAGTATTTAGATATATAGATAGAATGGATCAATTCTTTATCGTAACTTTTTTGTTGTTTGGTTGCCAATGTAAATATACCCTTCTTTTTATTTTCTCATAAACGCATACAACTTTCTATATATATCATATATTAGCATTCTACATACAATCAAATGTACCAAAAAACAAAAATTGTACACAAGTCGATATTTTATGAATTCGATACATTTGATAATGTGCACAAATGTGCGCATAGACACATGGCCCAATTTTTTTAATAAAGGATTTTCTCATTTTGGTTATCATTTTGTTGGTATGCGCGTCAATGTGTAACACATCTTCTTTACCCCCCTCAAAAAAGATGCATTTGGATTTTGGCCGCTTTTTTTCTTTTTCTTCAAAATGTCAAAGTTTAAGTTATCTTGATGAATTATTTGATTCAATTTGTTGTCCCAAGAAAAGAAATTCAAATAATCGATTTGAATACCATCTATTGTTGAATAGGAAAGATTTTTTTGTTTAAAATTCAAAAAAAAATCAATTTCGAACAATTAAATTCGAATGAAAAATTAAAATTTTGTTTGATTTTTTTTTGTTTATAAACAGAAAACTGAGTCACATTTCGCCAAATTTGTTTCTAGATCATCATCATCGTCAATCAATGATCATTGTACTTGTAATGATGTGTAATAATTGCAGTTTGTACCTGATATCAGTCTAATGGAAATAGAAACAAAAAATTTTTTTTAATGATGTTAATCAATTTTATTGGTACTTTTAGAAGAACGACTATTTAGTAATTGTCCTTCATCATTCATTACGATTGCATTTCCAAGACAATAATTTGGAAGGGGGAAAAGTTTTAAAGATTATCTTTATTATGATTGATGATCTTTTTTCTTTTTGTTGGATAAAGACAAAAGGAATACTCTCAAAGTAATTAGCAGAAAGGAATTCAATTTTTTAAAAATAAAGAAATATGAAGATTATCCTTAGATTGGTTTTTTTCTCTGGCTCATAGAATGTTAAGATAATCTTTTTGCTATCTGATCTTGATTGAAATATTGGGTATTATGCTATCAAATATGGTATCAAATGATTGATTGTAAATCCCATTAATCAATTAATTAATTGAATCGTGTGTTGTTCAACAATTTTATAATTACTATATAGGATTTGATTTGCACATATCTAAATCGATTGATTCACTATAAAAACTGTTCAATTTGATTGACAATTTTGGCATCAGATGAAAACCAAAAATTTTGTGTTCAAATTACTTTCAAATTTTATTGTAGTGAGCAAAAATATCCACTGATTTTTACAATCAACATCTGTTGTTTTCATTTTGATCGTTTCAGAAACATCGTCAGTGAAAAAACAATTGAATTTCAAAAGAAAAATGAATCCCAAAATTCTGATTGCAATCGGTGTGATTGGCGCCGCATTCATCATTATCGGCATGTCGGTATTATTCGGTGCATTACCGAAAATTGTTCAGGATAAAGTTAATGAGGTTTGTTTGCTGCTTTGATAAAATATTGAAAATTAATAATCATTTGGAAATAGCAAATGGTACTTGATGAAAATAATACCGATATATATGATATGTTTAAGTCATTACCGGTACCATTGCAATTTCGTATTTGGGCATTTGAAGCTGATGTCTCAACTTTTGATGGACAACATATCAATACAATAACATACAAAAAACGTGGCCCATATGTTTATAATGAACAAAGAAATAAATCATTTATCGAATTCAGTTCGGATGGTAATAATGTTTCATATACCTTGGACAAATACTATACATTTAATAAAGATGAATCCTGTCCTGGTTGTAGCAAAGATGATAAGATTAACTTTTTCAATCCACTCTTCGTTAGTAAATTATAGTGAATATCTTTTCTTTATTCTAATTAATCCATTTACATATCTGCCTAGGCTATGGAACAAACAAGATTAGATGGCTTAATAGAAGCGAACAAAAAGGATCCGGAAACATTACGTATATATGAAAGTCTCATATATAATTTCGATACTATTGATGATCTACTTATAACGGGTAATTCAAATCTGGGCCAAAGTATTCTTGCCGTAAGTTATTTAAATTTGAAAATTTCAATCCATTTTAGTCTTATCAAAAAATAGTCAAAAGATTTTAACACATTTATTGTGGATACGGGGAAATCCGATATAAAACAATTAGAACAAGTATTATCATATGCTGATAATAGGTAAGTGACAATAATTGATTACAATCACTATTCATATATGTTCAATATTTAGCGAAATAACTGGTGTCTGGCCAAATAATGATGATGGCAGTACTTCACGTTGTAATAAATTAATTGGTACCGATGCAACACAATATGCACCTGGTTTGACTGGTGATGAAACAATATGGGCATTCGAAACACTGTTATGTTATTCCTTATATGCCAAACATGGTATATTACCGGATCGTGATGTGAAAGATATACCAACATACCGTTATACAATAATGAAAGAGAATTTTTTGGAAACACTTGAAAATAGTTGTTTCTGTCTGGAAGATGATATTAAACAATGTACATCTGGCATGTTGAATCTGAAAAAATGTGGCGCTGCAATTGGTTTTGAATTTCTTGCCAGTCCGGCATATTTCTTCGAAGCACCTGAACATCTTAAATGGACTGGTTTGGATAAAATAGTAAATATCGATGATATTACCGAAGAAAATTGTGGAACATTTTTCGACATTGAACCCCAAACCGGTATCGTATTGAATGCTGAAAAGAAATTAATGCTCAATATCAAAGTGCGACCTAATGCTGTACCGTAAGTATTGAATTGTATTCATTCATTTAGTCATAACTAATGTTTATTCTTTCACAAAACAATAGTGCACTAAAAGATTTGGCTACAGATAAATATTTCAATTATCAAGTGTCACCATTTCTTTATATTGAAGAAGCTGGTGGAATTGATGATGAAAATGCAAAAAAATTAAAGGATAAATTATATCCGAAAAAAGTAGCTACAGCCGCATTAATCATAATGATTGTTGTTGGTGTTTTATTGATCTGTGTTTCTGTATTTTTATATTTCCGCCAATTATAATCTAATCCAGTTTTAACTAATTATTTATTCTTTCCTATCAAATTATAATAATAAATTATAAACTAATTTCATTTCTTTCATTCAAAATCCACAATTTCATAATATCGATTGTATCGATCTTGTTTCTTTGGAAATTTTTCCAAAAAAAACTACCACGACGACATGCGTTTTATTCTATCTCTCAATGAGGTATGAAACAAATGAAAATGTTTGGATTCCGAATATATGTTGTTATCATGCATTGCGCCGGCGTTGGATGACAAAATAAAAATCTTTGACTCGTCGTCTATGTGTTTATATATGGTAAATCTATATATATGATTTTTTTCTTGGAATTTTTTATTATTATCATTTTTATTTATTGTCAGTGGGTCTGGGTGTGTGTGTGTGGGCGTACACGCACTACCATTGAATGATTGTCAATATTAAAATTCAAATCTTATGGATCATCATCTTCATCGAAAAGGATCAATGTGTGAATGTAATCATAATAATAACTGATTTTTGATAAACAAACACATTGAATTGAATTTGATTCATCAATCATTGATCGATCATCATCATCATCATCATCATCAATAACATTGATTGAATCTGATTTTTTGTTAATTTTCACAAAAGAAGATGATTGTATTGAATTTCATTCGACTTGTGTGTGAGATTTGTTTCATGTGATAATTTTTCGTTTCAATTTGATTTTGATTTTGATTGAAATGACAATCTTATCAACATTCATTTATCATTGGATCGATTGAATTGAAAAAGTGACTGATTGATACTGAATATTTAAAGCTAGACAAGAAAACCTGTTTTTTCCGTTTAGTATGTTTAGTTTGACTGCCTTATCGATTTGATTATGCTAATCGTTTTTTTGAGTCAATTTTATCTGTTTGATTTATGATTGTATAGTGTGTATGATATAAATTTGTTAGAGTAAGAAAGATTCAATCAATTGTAATATCATCATCTTGTTTTTCCTTCAAGAATTCTTCTTAATGATATTGATAGAATCATTGCTGCTGGTTGTGGTAGTGGTGTATTTGAATTTTGGAATCATTTGAAAAACTTGTTTTGATTGAATTTTTATAAAATAAAATCGATAAAATAATGGGACTATTGTCCGTTGGCGAACCATTATCATGGCCGGAAACAAAATCCTATGCGGAATATATTCGCGAGCATGGTATCAAACAATTTATTAATCTTTATAATTTGTGTAAAACAAAAACTAGTGAAGTGTTGAAATTCGGCGATGAGGTAAGTGAAGGATTGTTTGCAATGCTAAATTGGAATGCTTAAATTTGTTGTTTAGATTGAATATATGATACTCAAATTTGATGATCAATCCAAAAAAGTACGTGTATCAAATCGTGCCATCGAATTGTTGAAAATTCTTCAAGAGCCCGAAGAAAATGGCCAAGATTGCGTTAGTTTATGGAGACCAGAATTTGGTGCCTATATGGTTGAAGGTACCCCCGGACAGCCATATAGTATGAATCCAACACCATTAGAACAATATCTAATGACGGCTAATCATGATCAACAACAAGATTCATATTCAGCATCCAATAATGATAATATCAATATGATGAATGAGCACAACTATAATGCTGAGGATGATGATAAAAATGTTGAAGATGATGCATCGATGATGGATAATAATAATAAGTTGACATCATCATCATCATCATCATCTTCATCAAGTACACCATTTTCATTTGTCAATGTAATTGAAGCAAATATGCGTCTAAGACGTAAACAAGTTATTGATCTATTGAATGAAAATGAAACAATACTATCGATAAGTCCATTTCCTTCATTAGGTACATTCGATTTTTGTGAGCCAAGTTCATTTGTACACCCGACATATGGTTATAGTCGTAGTTTATTTTTTCCCGATGAAGGTATTGTTAATGTTGATTAATCAGGGCAAATGTTAATGTTTTTGTTTGTTTTTTTCAAAGCTATCTACACTGGTCATCCCAGATTTCGTACATTAGCCAATAATATACGCGAACGTCGTGGACGTAATGTTGATATTTATCTGCCTATTTTTAGGGACCAAAATACTTCTAGTCCATTTCGAGAAAATTTTGTTGATTCATTAAATATCGACCCCACTAGTATTGATGATGAAGAAAAGGAAAAATATGAAGAAATTGCCCGTGAACGTGAACGTATTTTTCGTAAAGACGATCATATCTATATGGATGCTATGGGTTTCGGTATGGGATGCTGTTGTTTACAGGTTACATTTCAAGCGTCAAATATTGATGAAGCATGCTGCCTTTATGATCAATTAGCACCATTATGTCCAATTATGATGGCATTATCAGCTGCATCACCGATATTTCGTGGCTTTTTATCCGATATTGATTGTCGATGGTCGGTGATTGCTCAATCAGTCGACGATCGTACTGAAGCTGAAATAACGGGAAAATCATGTCGTCGCATACCTAAATCCCGATTCGATTCGATTGATCTTTATATTAGTCGGCAAAATGTTGATTATAATGATATAGATGTTGTTTATGATGAACGTTATTATCAACAAATGATTGATAATCAAATACCATCATCAATAGCCAAACATATCGCTCATCTCTTTATCCGTGATCCATTGGTTATATTTAAAGAAAAATTAGACATCGATGATACTAAAGAAAGTGATCATTTCGAGGTTCGATCTTCAACATTAACAATTTTGACTTGTTCTCACTTTTTCCATTTCAGAACATTCAATCAACAAATTGGCAGACAATGCGTTTCAAACCGCCGCCATTAAGTCAGCCGGAAATAGGTTGGCGTGTTGAATTTCGTCCAATGGAATTACAATTGACGGATAGAGAAAATGCTGCATTAGTTATATTTGTGGTATTGCTCACTCGATTGATATTATCATTCAATTTGAATCTGTTGATACCAATGTCCAAAGTAAGTGTCATTTTATTGTTTATAATACGCTACATACATTGTATATTCAGGTTGAAGAGAATATGAAAGTGGCTCAAGAACGTGACGCATTAAAACATAAACGATTCTGGTTTCGACGTAATATTTCGTTTCCACAGAATATTCGTGAACATTTGCGCGTACGACGTTGTCGGGCTTCGAAACAGTTATCACATTGTTTTGCCTCTTGTTCGGATCGATCAGCAAAAAATATTGAAACCTGTTGTGTTCAATTGACTATTGATGAAATCATTAATGGCACCGATATCGATGTTAACGATGATGGCATACATGATGGTGGTTTCCCTGGTCTTATACCATTATTGAATTTCTATCTGGATAGTGTTGAGATCGATGCTGAAACACGTTGCACGTTAAATCTTTATCTACGTCTTATATCCCGTCGTGCAAAAGGGGAATTACCGACAGCTGCACAGCTAATCAGACGTTTTGTCATTGGACATGAGGATTATCAAAATGATTCGCGGGTGTCATCGAAAATTGTCTATGACTTATTAAAACAATTGGATCAATTGCAAACTGATCAGATTACTCTCGAACAATTGATTACCAATATTAATCAACATTTCAATAGCAAAACTCAAACCAAAACCCCAGATTGATTATCCAAATCTATTTTAATTAATTTATTCATAAACAGAGTTTTTATTGCTTGTTTTTTCTAGTTGTTGTCTAAGTTGAATTTGGGCCTTAGGTGAAATCTATCAAAACAGAACGAAAATCAATTGAATCATGATCATGATGGTGATTGATGAAATTTAATAGATTTTAATAAATTAATTTTGTTTTTTTCATTACTTAAAATGATTTATAATCAAATTTGATTCAAATTCATCAGTTTCTTTATTCAGTTGGTAATCTGTTTTTTAAAATAGCAAAGTTTTACATATCAAATTATCAAAAAAAAGCAAAAAATGATCAATTATTAAATGATCAATGTTATTGTTTTGATTGTTTTTGAAATGGATCTATATAAAAAATCACAGTCACATTATTGTAGACAGTCAGAAGTAATATGCAGACTACCATTATCATCATAAAAAAATGAGAGTGATGGTGTCTGATAAATCATGATAAATGTTGATGATGATGAGGACGATGAAGATGGTAATAAGGATGAAAAGAGAAAAACCATTCAAATAGATCGAAATGGTCAGCAAGCAGCCATCAATTCATGTATACTTGTGAATGAGATCTCATAATTAAGATAACGTTTTAGAATATCCGGTAGTAATAGATTTTCGATACGCTCAATAACCTGTGTACCGGCTAATGATGCTACAGGTGATGGCTTGATTGATTGTCGTCGTAATAAAATAGTCAATAATTTTAATCGTTCAGGATCACCATTACCACCGGTTATGAATGCATCTTCAATTTCGTCGATTGTCATACGATTTAATCGTTCCAATTCGATATCATTCAAATCATCTATTTCATTGATGGTGCGATTCACATACAATGGACATTGAATGGAACGGGCTTTTAGCATCATATTAGATTGTGCTTGGATAGATATTTCATACAATATTTTCCGTATATATTGCCGACATAGATGTAATAGTGGTTGTGGTTTTGTCGCTGTCTGCAGAATACGTTCACGAAGACGTTCATTTAATAATGAACAACGTTTTATGCCGGCAACATTGAATGCATCGGCAGCTTCAAGTACCAAATTAATAACTTCTTTATCACGTTCAAGATCTAAACGATTAATCACTTTCAATATACCGATTCGATCATGCACTTGAGCCTTTCCCAGCAAACAAACAATAATTTGATCAATATTATTAAATGCAATTTATACTTACTTTAATGACAATTTTAGCACCATATTTCAATAGTTTTCGAACGATAAATGCCTGTGGCGGTTCATTGGCATTAAAATATTCCCCAATCGGTGGTTTTAACAGCGGACCACGTGCATCATTAGTGATGGCATTTGGATCGGCACCAGCTTCCAATAAAAGATCAATCAATTCGGCTTTGTTTGGAGCCTGACAAAAACACGAAACATATTAAACATTTCAATTTTGGTTGGAAAAGTAAGTATATTCACTTTTTCCGAAAGTACAATGTGTAATGGTCGTCCAATAATTGGTGAACCAACATTAACCTTTGTTTGTTGAATTTAATGGAAAATTTAATTAGAATTTTGCTTGTTTTTGATGCAAATATCCAACACTTACATCAGCACCGGCATCGATCAGTAATTTAACCATTTCAACATTACCACTAAGTAATGCAAAATCTAATGGGGTTGGTTTTTGTGCTGTAGCCGTTGGAAATATATAACGAGCATTTGCTCCATGATGTAATAATAATCTCACAATATCAATGTTATTACTTAATACCGCATAATGTAATACACTTCGATAATCATGCCGTTCTATTCACAAAACACAACAAAACTAATCAGTTACATTGACAACATTATTCTATTATTTTAAATACCCGATGTTATGGCATTCACATCAGCACCATGATAGATGAGAATTTTAGCCGCAGCATAACCTTGTGGATGACGACATGCTTTCATCAATGGTGTTAAACCGGAACGATCTCTTGAATCTGGTATGGCACCATATTTAAGTAGCATTTCCAAACACATCACATTCAATGGAGAAATTAGATTAATTTCTGATCCAAGAAAATATCTTGCATTTGGATCGGCTCCATTTTTGAGCAAAATTTCTGCACATTCTAAATGACCATTCTTAATCGCCAATCGTAATGGTTCATCAGCAATGGTCGCACGCGGTGGATTGCCCAAAGCCTAGAATTAGTTTGGATATGAATTGTATGTAAAATAAATAAATAAATTTCTAAACAAACTTTATCATCTGGACGAAGTTCAGTGAATTTAATACGTGCACCATGTTCAATCAATAGATTCATCAATTCATTATAACCACGTTCAGCCGATAAATGTAAGGCAGTATAGCCAACATCATCCATTGCATCAACATCACAACCTCTAACCAATAAGAGATTCACAGCTTTTTCGTATCGTTGATAGGTGGCATAATGGAGTGGACGCAAACCTTTTTTGAACAAATAAATGAATAAATGCATAATGCGTAATAATAATAACATACCTTGTGTAACTGGTTCGTTTACTTTAGCTCCACATGCCAATAGAATTCTTATCTCATCTAATGGTGCCTGTCGTATAATTGAGTCAGCCAATTCACGTTGTAATCGTTGTAATGAAGGCATTAATGGTATGTTAATGTTATCACCATTATTATTATCCATTCTGGATGGCATCTTTTAATCAATCAAACAAACTAATCAAATGAATCAAACAAAAACACAATTCAGAAATATTGATTCCAAATTCAAATCGAAATGAAACAGAAAAAATTAAAACAATTCCTAAATGGTTTGTATTGCCAAGAATTGTTTGACTTTAAACTAATGGTAAACAACGAAAAACAAAACAAAAAATTCAAGTTTGATTTGAATTTTGTTTGAAATTCATTCTCACACTATATATACACACACACATCTCATCATATATGTTATTCGAATGAATATTTTTTTGTGAAAAAAATGATGCGCATGAATCCATCCGATTCTTTACATTGTAAACAAACAAACAAAAAACAACTGAATTTGAAACATATAAGTCAGTCATTGAAAAAAGACGGAGAATAAGAAAAAAAATCAAAACATTAAACATGCTGGGGGTGGATGGGTGGTTGGTTAGTTTAAACAAAAAATTACATGTCTTTGATTCTTTTCCATCTCCAATCCATATACCACTACCATTGACAAAAAAGATGTTTATTCAAATAGGAAGCAAGTTTTTCAATAACAAAAAAGAAAACGAAGAATGTTGAACAAAAAAAACTGTAGAAACATATTGAATATTTGGCACTTGATTCTATTAGTATCATCATCATTATCATTATGACTGAAGGGTATGACTGAAGATTTGGCACTGACATTCAAAGCTGAAAGGGAACAAAAGATCTACTCAAATGAACTTTGTTTGGTTGCTTGATTTGTTCAACTATATGATTCTAATATTAGCATCAGGAATTATATACATTCAATAGGAAGCTTAGAAACATAACGCAATATTCTGGCAATATGATGTGACCAAAAAAAAGAATCATAATTATCATATGACATTATGGCGTAATAATATGTTTGTTTTGTCATGTTTTAATTTTCAACAGAATTATAATATTGCGAAATTAGAATTCGGTTGATGCGCATAAGAAAATCCATTTGAAAATGTCAATTTTTTGTCTAAATTACCAGAAAAAATTGATGATGAACACACCACACACTTACGATTGAATGTGGTATTTTCAAAAAAAATTGTCTGAAACAAATTTTGTTTTCGGGAAAAGAAAACAAAATTTTCGTTTTTTTATTGAATAAAATTTGCAAGAATTTTTTCAATGACAATCAACAATTGTTGTTGCGGTTGCATCGAGAATTCCAAATTCAATTTTGTTTACATTGTTTTTGGAATGGAGAAAAAAATTACTTACTTGTTTTGTTTTTGCCAGGAAAAAAATTGAAATGTTTGAATTTGTTAAACAAATTCTTTTATGATGTTCTTTAATGATGTAATAGCAACAAATGGTCGATCAATTTATACTAACCAAGGCACACATCACATTGAATTTGTTGTCAATTAATTTTTTTTTTAAGTTTCTCAAATGGATAAAATGTAAAAAATTGAAAGATTTTTATAGGAGTAAAAAAGTAAAAACAATGAGAATAAATTCCAATTGTTAATGTGGTTAATGTGTTAATGTATGTGTATGTGCGTATAATTTGAAAGAATCAAAGAATCGCTCACATGGAATAAATCTAAATGCGTGCTTTTTGTTGTTGTTCAACTTGTCGTACAATACGCATCATCGTTATCATCGTTAGACATTGAGAATCTTTCACGCATCATGTGATCATCACCAGGATGATTCATGATTCAAGTTTTCTCTGATAAAAGAAAAAAATATAAATTCTTAGGAAAGCAAGATTCAGATCACAAGTTCATCATCATCATCATTATTGTCAAACAAAGTACAGTAAACCTTTTAGAAAGACCAATTTGTGTGTTTGTGTCATTGTATCTAAATGATGGTGTAGCATTTCTAATTAGTCATCAATATCAATATCAATTTTTTTCTCATCATCAAAATTCAATTTTCGCTTGACCATTTTGCAATGAATTGAATAGACTTATTTGGTTAGTAACCAGTATAGACAGTTTCATCATTGAATCATGATGAAAATGAAAATGAGCTATAATGAGCTAGCACGCAGAAACATTATCATCATCATCAAGTGTCAATGGCCCAAAATACTAACAGCAGAATATATAGTGTGTGTGGGTGGGTGTGTGGTTGTAAAGCCATTACGATCATTGAGGGAGAGAATAACAAGAGAATGGGTTCATCGATCAAAGTACATCGATCGCATAAATGATTGTTGAGTGAATGATGATTGAAAACTTTGAAACTTTCGAACAAGATGATGATGACAACTTTGTGGTTGTTTCCTTGAACATGAGACAAATAAATCAAAGTACGACGTATCAAATTGAACAAGATGTCATTCGAATGTTTTCAAGATTTTTTTCAACAAGCCTATCGTCATCTAGTGTGAAGAAATGCGACGAACGAAAGAGAATTTTAGTCTTGGCAACTTTGTAACATTTTCAACTCGACTCTCGTCTTATTTTGGTTGAAAGCAAAACAGAAAAAAATTGCCAACGAAATGAACAATAATGAAATTTATTAAAAAAATAGTGTTTTGTTATTGTTTTCAAAAATATGTACTTCTAATTTCAGCTGACAATTGATTTGGATGATGACCAAACGATAACGAATTAGTTGGATGCTGTGGCCAGTTATTGATTTTGGATTGTTTAGTCGGTGTTATGATTGGTGGTGATGCTTTGTCATCACTGTCATTAGTTTGAATAGAGTCTTGGCGAGAATATGATCGTGTTAATTTGATACGATTATTACGTTGATTATTGGTTGACTTTGGTTGATCCAAACAATCGATTGATGGTTGCTGTTGTTGTTTGTTCATATAATGTAGATCCAATGATTTAGCCGGTATTGGATTAGTAATGTTATCAAGTTGTTGTTGTTGTTTCATTTGATGCTTCATTTTTTGTCTTTGAATATCTTGTTTAAAATAACGTAATTTTTCAATCAATTTTTCGCTATCCGAATCGGAATAATTATTGGGTGATGGTGATTTTTGTGACTCATCATTGGGTATTGATAATTTGTCCTGTGTTTTGGTTGTTGATTTATTTGAATTAGTATTATTATTAGTATGTTGTGTTAGTGTTTGTGTTGGATGCTTTTTGGTGTCGATGATTCTTATGAATTGTGGCCGATATGTAGCACGATTTTCTTTGCCATCAATCATAATATTTGCCATGACCGGTTGTTTAATGGATTTATTAATATTTTCATTAATTTTCGTACATTTTTTCAATTCAGGAATTTTCGTTGCCACCTTACTAATCTTTGGCTGCAGTGCGCTCGACCTATTGGCGAATTGGATAAATTGAAAAATGATTAACAAAATGAAATGAAACAATTTACCAATTAGTTGGAGTCTTGCTCGCATCCATCAGTTGTGGTTGTTGTTTGATTTCCGAACGATCTTTTTTATCCGTCAGAATTTCTTTGGTTTTATTTTCCCAGAAATCTTGATAGCAACGAAATTTTTTGGTATTGTTTAGATTATTTAGTTCCTTTTCTCTCAGTTTTTGTTCAACAGGTGATGCTGAACTGTGTCTTAAATGACTTAGATAATCTACATTCAATGATAATGCTTGGTCATTGCAATTGGAATTTCGCTCGGCCTGTTCGGCCCAACCAATCGATTTGGATTTGACCATTGTTTTTTTATTTTTAATTTTATTCAATTCCTCTTTTGACATTAGCGGTTTTTCTCGTACATCCACCGGGAAAAATATCTGCTTAAATGCATCCTGTGATTTTGCCACTTTGGATGGTGCCAATAAGTGATCTTCCGGTTCATCCTGGCCATTATCCCCGACATTATCATCATCGATTTGTTGGAGACTCAATTTATCCGGATCCATTTCCAAACTTAGATTATCATTATTCTGACTTGTGGTTGTTTGACTACTTCCACCACCATCATCATCGAAACTGGCCATGCTTAAGTTTTCATCGAAAAATAATTGCTGTTCGGATTTAAATTTTCTTATTTCTTTTGGACTGTTTTCTGCCGTCGTTATCGATGTTGTTGGCGATGTTGGTTCGGATTGTTCATCGCCACCATTATTGGTATTTTTAGTTTTTTTCGAACCGAATCTTAATGGGGATAATGAATGATTGCGTCTCACTTTTGTGCGATTTGAATATCGATTCAAACTTAAATTGGATGATCGTTGCTGTTGTGATTGTTTACCAATTTGTAATTGATTTTGTGAACGATGATGGTTATTATTGCCCAAAAAATCAATAGTGCTGAGCGATGAAAATGATTTTGACATTGATCCTTTTTGCATTTTATTACCAGGCGTTTCAAATAAAACCTTTTCAATACGTTTTCGTCGTTCTTCGGGTGTTTCGAAACGGCGTTTCGGTGATGATGGTTGTTTGGATTCGGTTACCTTTGCAAGTGGATCAACTAAATTAAGCGAAAAAGAAAAGATTATATTTTTTCACAAAAGCAATTTATTAATTACTTTACCTTTGTCTTTCTCTTTGGCTGTTTGGCATTGATAATCATTGTTATTTTCTTTTTTCTGGTTATTTTTATTAGTGGTTGAAAGCAAATCAATACATTCATTCAATGTGGATGGATCAATAGCAACATTATTGCGAACTTTATTCAACATCGATTCAATTTGGACAGTCGTCGGTGATTCAGGTATTTTTGTTAAAATAATGTTCGATGATGATGAGGATGTTGGTATGCGTGGTGTTGTGAATAATTTTAATGTTCGTGTTTGTTTAATTGGTGGCGATGACGTTTTGTTGTTGGGAAAATCATTATCCTCATCGATTGGATTGTTATTTGAATCTAAACGTATGGGCTTACTGAATGCCGAATCAGTGGATTTAATCAATTTGCATTTATTATGCTTTCGGCCCGAATCTTTATCATGCACGTTATTATGGTTATCATTGTTGAGAAGAATGTTTGATGTATTTTTGGAAAAATTTTGAATATCATCAATAATTTGATTACGTTGACGAATCAATTGGGCCATACGTTCATCAATTTCCTCCAATTCCCGTTCATGTCGTTTAATCATTTGATCACGTTCATCGCGCAGAATATTTTCATTTTGTTGATTAATCAATAATTTTTGTAGATAATTTTCCATATTTATTAATTTTTCTCAATCGTTCGAATGAAGCAAAAACAAATCCTGTTTTTTTCGAAAATTTTGAATGACGACTAATGAAGAAAGGAAAGGAAAAAATGAAATCTTTTATGTCAAACACGTACTGGAAGAAACAAGCAAACAATTAAGACGTATGAATCATCGTGGTGGCGATGTTATCGTAACATTTAACATAATTCTTTTATCAAAGTTCCAAAGTTGTTCTCCATCGATAAAGCAGAAACAAATACGCATCAATTTTTTTTCTTTAGTTGTTCGTCTGGCCTGTCTAAATGATGATGATTCTATCTATAAAATATAAGCAGTAACAGAGAGAATATTCAAAAAGAAATCGTTAATATTAACCGTAATAACAAGAATCAAGGCTTTATTGGAATAATCTTGTAAAAGAAAGGCACGCAAATCTAACTAACTCAATGATAACCATTGCCAATGAAAGAATCAAGAATTGAGAGCACGTTCTATGAGAATGAGCATCATCCTTTTCAAAGAATACTTATACATTCAGCATTGCATGATAATCATTAAGTGGAAAGCCAAAAACGAACAAGATTTATATGTTGGAATACATATACTTTGCCAATATGGGTCTCATTTATATATATGTAATGTGTTTAAATTCCAATAGAGTTCATGATTAAAGCCTTTTATGCAAACGAAAACCGCAAATCATTTCGAAATTTTCTGCTAAGCAAATGTAAAAAATTTGTCAATCACAAAACATGCTATTCATAATTCTTTAGTTGGCAAAAAAAAACTTTTGTCGAAATGTTTAGGCAATGAAGCAGAGAAAGAATGAATGAAAAACCAAATTTGTCTCGCCTTCATCATAACCAAAACAATGATTAAAGTTTTTTTAGCCAAAGTATAAATGATTACCACTTGTAAATTAAATGTAACCAATTTTCAATATGAGAAAAATCAAAAACATCCCAAACAAAGAATGATTTTTCCTCATTAAATTACTTTTATTTTGATTTGTTTTTCTTGAATTACCCAAAATCAAAACAAATGTTTTTGTGTGTGTGTTTGCTTGGGTGTTCACTAATTATTCTACAAGATGAATAAGAGCCAAAAAAGCAAATGATAATCGATAGAAATTGGATTCATTGTCGGTTTTAATTTTCAAATCAATAATTATAAACCTACACTGGTTGACGTCAATCAAGTAGAGAACGTATTCCAAGTTAAAGATTATGATTCATCGTCCAATCATATACTATTTTTAAGCATTCAGCATATCAAAACATAAAAAGGGCACACTAAGATTTGAATGTTTAAATTTATCCTTCTAATTCGTCGTCGTTTTTCCTATTCATGTTCAATCAATCTGTTTGAATTGTTGCCAACAAAAAATAAACCGAAAAATCAATGATGATCATAATATTAATGACGATGTTTTTTTTAAAAAAATAAATATTTTCTGAACCAAACTTGCATACATATTATTTGAATGGTTTTTGCTGGAAATGGTGAATGATCGCATTAAATGAGAGAAAAATTGAAAACAATGAATAGTGAATACTGATTGTCATGTAACAATCCAGCAGGAAAAATAGTGATAACATTATAATTTGCAATATAAACAAGCAATTATAAATATGATTCATTCACTTTATGATTGCCACAGAATCAAACAAAGCCAAGCAGACACAGACAGCCTTAGACAACAAACACAATGGCCATACTTTGTTTTTTCATGTTTTGGTAGGTTTTTAGGAAGCGAAAAATTCTCATCAAAATGATAAAAATTTGCCAATTTTCATTTAGAAACAAAATTGAAAATAGAAACTTTACAACAGTCAACAGTCAACAGCAAAAGTTATATTTTGTTTTGTTTTTATGACAACTATCATCATCATTTTGGCCTCATTTACTAAATTATTATAACCAACAAAAAAGTGATATAACCACCACCATCATCATCATCGCACACCCATCATTAGATTGAAAAAAGAATGACAAAAAAGATAGAATTTCTTTTTGTTGGTTACTCGTTATTTGATTCTATTTTCATCATCATCATCATACGAGCAATGCCTTTCTCTGAGTGTGTGTTGATGATAATGTTGAAAAGTTCAACCACACCATCAAAGAAATGATGATAGAAAGTTCATTATTTTATTTGTTTTCATAAAGAATTTTGGTTTGTCTTCTGGTTTTGGGCTAACAGAATAATATTGAGCAAAGTAAAGTAAGGAAGTAACTTAATCGCTTCCTTGTTGTTTGTTCGTTCGTATTACAGACAAACAATAGATCGGGCTGTTTGTGAGACACACAGCAAAGCGTTCAACAAACGATGAAGAATTTGGAAAGAAGAAGAAAAATGGTTTCTTTTTTCTTGATTTGCAAAATACGATTCCGGTTTTTCTGTTGTCTAATGTTGTGATGTAAGGAAAATTGATTATTCAAAAATTATTATCATTATTAGTTGAAACATTAGGCAATTGTTTTTCTTCTGCTGTGAATTGTTTGGGGTTTTGCGCTTTGAATGTTTGTTTTTGATGCTTTGGAAATGTGAATGAATTTTTATTTTTGCCTTTTTTCCCGATTCATTACACACATCCAACAAGTGATTGACGAGAACAAAACACAAACGAAGATGGTGATGGCGGAGGAGAAGGCGGAAAATTCTCTCTTTTTAAAGATGTTTATAAACACACACACCAATCAAATTAAACAAACATTTTGGTTGTTGTTTTTTCTGAAAATATAAAAACTGTTTTCAAAGATAAATTTTCGTTTCATTATTTTTTATTTGATTTCGTTCAAAGTTTGATTCGATTAGCCAGATGTTTGTTTGAAAAAGAAGTAAATTTTATTTGGTTTATTTGGCTACAAAAAACAATGGAATCACGAGCTAATCTAAAAGTTGAACCTGCATATCATGATGGTAATGGCGATGACCATCCAATAATATCACCGACAAGAAAATGTTCCATCAAAAATTTGAAAAAAACATCTCAATCATCATCGGCTATACGACGTTCAAAATCATTGCATGATACTAAGTGTTGCAATGGAATGAATCGTTCATTGATCAATCAATCAAAACAACAACATCAACAGCAATTAATCATGCGGAATCTTCCAATCAATAGCAATCAAATTATCAATGGTCCTCATTATCAGGACCATCATGACGCTAATTTATCAAATAATGCTGCTAAACAATTAACACGAACAAGTAATATATCATTACACAAACAACAGCCAACAATTTCCAAATGGAAAAAATCAAAATCAACAAAAGAAGCCAATAACAAAATCCATAATAATCATCACCATCGGGCAAAACGAACCCAATCATTCAATATCGATAGTAATGATCAACTACGTAATGGTAGTTTTAGTTCCGGTAATAGTATTAGTTTGAAAAGTTCCTCCGGTTCGATCGGTTTATTTGATAATAATCTTTATCAACAAATGAGCCTTCTATCACTTCAATCGCAGAATAATCATCATAGTAGCAGCAATAATAGTATTACCACAGCCCCAGCTACTTATAATGGCTTCAATGATTTACATGAAATTCAGTCCATCTTTTTGAATTGTGGTCGTCCCCAACAATTGAATAATAATAAATTCACTAATGGCTATAATGTCAATTTCGATGGTGATCAAGATGTTTATGGTGATAGTAATGATCACAGTGATGACAATGACCACAGTGACGACAGTGATGAACATTTTTATAATCAAAATTCAATGCTGCTAAATAATAAACTTACATCATCGTACACCTCGTGCTCGAACATGTCTATTAATAATGTTAAAGCATCAATGACGAATGATCAAACTATAAACGACGATGATAGTCAACATGTGAATGATAAAAAACATTACAAATCAACAAAACATAATAATAGGCAACAACATCGTTTTTATATAATCAAACAACAAAATTATCCCCCATTATATCTCAATAATAGTTGTAATCGCAAACGAATTCATCGCATCATTATGATTGGCTATCCAAATGTCGGCAAATCATCATTGATTAAACAGTTTCGTCAACATCTACAGCAAACATGTTCGTTTAATCCGGCCAATTGTAACGAAATGAATGATGATCGAAATTTATTCATACATTTTGTGGAAATGGATTCAATGCTCGAATATAATGACAATATCTATCATGGACAACAAAATTCATCAATCATAATCGATTATCAACCTGATGTTTATCTAATTATGTTCAGCGTGAATGACAGGTTTGTAAATAATATTTTGTTGAAATAAATTTATCAATATTTGCTTTTAGAGAATCGTTTAACTATGTGAGGAAGGCATTGATCGATATACAACATTGGGATGATGTTGAAAATAAAATCATAATAATTGTTGCCAATAAATGTGATCTTGAACGATCTAGATGTGTTAATCGTAAAGGTAAACGAATGAATTGAACATGTTTGCTAATCGAATCTAATCAATTCTCTAATCGACAACAGAGGCCAAAAAATTAGCAACCGAAAATGATTGTAAATATATTGAGATAAGCTGTACTATATCACATAATATTCATACATTATTGCAAGGTATTGGTGCGCAAATCACCCTCAAAAATGGACAACTATTCAACAATCATCATCATCATCATCATCATCCTCATCTAAATCAATATCCAAAACTAGGTAATTGACTTTTTCAACTTTTTTCTTGGACTTAATCCAATGTTGTTTTTGCTTTTTTCTCACTGTCAACATCAGAAATGAAACATGATGAGAATGAAGCACTTAATAATAACCATTACAATGGTGATCATGTTGATGATGATAATGTTCATTTTCATCATCAACAAGTCGATTCGATGCGTATTGGCAATGACAAGTCATCATCATCTGGAGGATTGAAACGACGTGAAAGTTTTTTGAAACGAATTCTACGCAAAGCAGTCATGTCAAAATCAAAATCCTGTGACAATCTACATGTTTTATAGAATGGATCAAACTTGTGTAATATTTTTAAAAATAAAGTCATTTTTTAATTAATTTTTGCACTAAAAATTGATAATAAACATTATAATAATATCATCCGGTTAATGATTCTTCTTTGTGTCGTACAATTTCGTCGATTTCGGCACACTTATTTCGAATAAAATAATTTAAATTAGCTTGAGCATCATTCACCAAATCTTTGCTCAATCGTTTTAAATCCTTTTCCATAAATTTTTTATGCAAATTTCTATCTTTGATTTGGTCTTTGACTTTTTGTCCGGCTAATCGAACCGATTTGATCAATTGTTGACGATGTTCGGTGGTTATACGTGGCATTCGTATATAGATTACATTACCATCTGGTTGTGGATTTAAGTTCAGACCTGATTCTTGAATAGCCAGCAAGGCTGGTTTGACAGCCGATGGTGTGGCCGATAGGTTAATAATAAGATCATTTTGTTTACGGACAATATTGACAATATCACCCAATGTAACTCGCATTCCTTCATAGCATATTTCCAAACTATATTTTTAGAACGAGACAAATAATCAATCAATTAGAAAATCACCACATTACTACTAACCTTTCAATCACACGTGGGTTGAGTTTAATATTGAAATTTAATTTCAAATCATTTTTAAATTCATCAATGATTTCATCGATTTGCGACCGAAGTTCATCATATTGCAAAACTTGTTCCATTTCATCATCAGTCAACACTACTTTTGGTCGATCGGTTCGATTTTTCTCTCGGATACGATCTTTTCCTTTCGCTAATGATCGTATTGGTATTGTTATCATTGGCGGTGGATGATGGATAATTTGATGAAATGATGATACAGCAGGAGCAAGATGATGAAATTCATTTCCAATTATCATTGTTGAACGAATAAAACGTCCCAACAATAACCTTGATGATAACATTGCTATATTTGCTTTTTTCAATTTGGTTCCAGGATTTGCAACCGAAAATGAAATTGAAAATTTTCAAAACCTTATCAACAGACAAACAAATGAGACCATATGGTGAAAAGAACTTGCGCCATCTGACGAGATTATTTTACAAAATAAGATTTTAGTCCAAATAATTTATTTCAAATAATAATAATAATAATAATAATAATAATAATAATAAGTAATCAATTAATAAAATGTCGTTGACACAAGCAAATGAAAATATCAAATAATAATAAAAAATCAATTCGTATACAAGAATAGTGAGGAGGATAAATAAAATTGAGATGATTATTATGATAATAACTTTCAGTCAAAATGCAGTCAAGTCAATATAATGAAATTATGTCATGTGTTTTAGAAGGAAATAGTGTTTGAAAATAAAATCAAATAAATGCATTGAATGAGATAAGATGTGTTGGTGTGGGTGTATGTACACATTGATACATTGTTACATTGATGCATTGATACAATTATCAATTAGTTGTCATTTCTTGTGGTGGTAGATTAGCTTCTTTCGTGCAATAATTATTGATGATAGTTTCAAATGAACATTCATAGAGAATATCGGCTATGATTGATGAAATGGATGTGTCCAATATTTGTGACATACTTAATGACAATAATCTTTGTTCATGTTGAATGAATAATGAACGATTCTCGGAATAACGTGCCAATGTTCGCAATATAGTTGCAGCACGTCTCACCATATCAGGTGTTGTGCCGATAGCATCGAAATTTTCGCGAAGATATTGTATACCATGTGCATTAGCAATACCTAGAGCACTTTGTTCAGCTTGTTCGATAAAACCCAATAATAATGATACGGAATAACCACTCAATGCTATCACACGAACAACAGATGGATCGGCTGTTGCAAAATTGGATATGAGAACGATAGAAAATTCGCGAATAGTCTGATCCTCATTACGAACAAGCGAACGGGTCAAGTTTTTCAAAAATTTTTCAATTCTTGTCCATGGTGGTGTAGCGAGTATGAGATCAACATTCGATTCATAGATGGATAGTTTGGATAATGCCTCATACGCTAAACGACGTGGCGATAATGTATTGGGTGCCGATGGAAATGCATCCTGTGCATACGATGATGGACAAATTGCCCAGTGTAACAGACCATCCAATAAGGCAAGTGTAATCGATTCAGGAAAGGATGATAGATCTAATTGGCCACTGATATTGGCCAATGTCACCATTGTATTTTCACGTATCAAATGCAATGCTTCCCACCACCATTCTTTTTCCGGACCGCAATCCATCATACAGTCCGATTTATCGCAACGAGCATCATCCGAATCACATTTTTCATCAATCAAATTGAACATTGTTTCCTCGTCCAAACGATTGGCCACAATTTTTGTGCAATCAATTTCGGAAATTTTACGTTTCTTTTTCAATGCATGCACATGATGCAATAGTATTAATCTCGACAGAATGAGTAACAGACACGAACTACGACACATTTCGATATCGTTACCCGGTACAAATGTCAAATTTCTTATCAAATTCGATACAGTCAAACATCGACTTTTAATTGAATCTTGATATTCACGTCCAGTACAGACAGCCGGCTCTTCTTGATCATATGATTCATCTTCGAAATCTGGTTGATGTAAACGTTTCCAATATCGTTCACGATCAGTTGGATGGATTTTTGGATATTGATCATCATCATCATTGTTATCATTGTTATCTTTATCTTTATCATCATTCATTTGATCGGATTCATGTCCATTTGTATGATGATTATTTTCACAATTTTCACCATTTTGTTCAACTATTTCCACATCATCATCATCATCATCATGATTGTCTTGTTGTTGTTTGGTGATGAGTCGACAAAAACGAAGATATCTTTCTTTGGGTTCCATGTGCGATTGAATATGAGTGGTGGTTTCGCCGCCACCTTTAAGCCAATGTTCTTGTTTGGTGAGGAAACCATTGCCACTGGGATCCCATTGTTTGTCGTAATCCATAATGAAGAGATTTTTATCTTTTTTAACTTTAACAGTTTTACCGTTTCGTGTTATATTGGTATAATTATTGGTTTGATCCTGAAACAACGTTAATTTGGGTCGTCCATTCAATTTAAATTTACGATCCAAAAATCCTTCAATATCATCATCAACATCATTCAATAGAAGATGATCCTGTTCATCCTTTCGATCGCGATCTACCTCATACCATTTAAGTTTGTTTGAATGACTATCATTATCATTCGAATGTGATTTGGATTCCCCGTTCAGATTTGCATTGGTCAATTGTTTTTGCTGTTTGAGACGATCTTCATAGCCAATTTCAATATCATCAAGCATAGAATCGAACATTTCATTAAGATAACGTCGATAGTGTTCGAGTAGTACGTCAAGCAACCCGGGCATGTTTGGCAAACTGAGAAATAATAAACTGATATCATCATTGGAAATAACATTCAATACATCCAATGCATATGTTGATTCGGCTAAAAGACCGGATTTAAGGGCCATATAAACACGCCATGCATCAACCGGCGCGATATCACGAGCCATCAGTTTACGTCGTTTCGATGGTATCGGTACAGTTGCTTCCACAGAATTGGGTGGAAAAATTGCGGTAGGGGGTGGTGCTTGTTGATGTTGTTGTGATAATTCATTGGCACGTTGTGATCGTATCAGTTGGCCAGAATGGTGATGGTGATGATGATGACCAGCAGGACCAGAATTGGAACCATATGATCCACTTGTTGGTGGTGGTGGTGGATATTGATTAGCAAATGCATGAGATCCGGAATTCATCATTTTTGCTCCAGTTCCCGGTGGAATTGAATTATTGTTGGTGCCATTATTAATTGCATGTGACATTGGACCGAAACCAGATCTCGATGATGCTGGTGACGGATCAGTAGTTTGTTGAGCAGTTTGCGAGGGAGGTGGTGGTGGCACAGTACGCATACTATATTGTCCAGGTGTCATCATTTTACCAGCTTGTGCTGAACCGGGTGCAAAATGGGGTTGGGAACCAAATTCAGGAGGGCCATAACCAGAATTACCACCGCTGCCTGGTGGATATCGATTAGATGACCAATGTGCAGTAGTCATTGGTGAATCCATTGAATTGTTTGATGGTGTGGCCGATGATGATCCGGTCGATGACGAAGATGATGGAGGTGGACCAGCACGTTGATCATGCCAACCGCCTGGAATCGAATCACGTTGTTGTCCACCATGTGGACTGGTTGAATTTCCTGGGTAGCCAGGATGTTGTGGATAAAAACTGCCCGATGAATGTTGACCAGCAGGCATACGATAATTATCACGACCAACCCAGCCAGCAGCAGCAGCACTTGGTGGAGATGATCCAGGTGGAGGTCCACTATTGCGACCATGTGGATGTGGACTACCGGTTGTGGAATTTGAATAAATTTGGGATGAAGATGGCGGTGGTGGTGGATACGGCGATGGTGATCCACTGTAACTGCCAGATTCAGGTGTTTGTTTAGCGAAATCTGGATGTCTTTTCGATTGTGGATAGCGTATGTTTTGTGTTGACATCCATGATATATTTGTTTGTGCTTGCATTGCTGAACTTGTGATTGGTTTACCCGAATTGGTTGATGGTGTTGGCGAACTAGCAGCTGCACTGATATTATTTGACGAGGAACCATACGAATTCTGTCCAAATCCCTGTTATCGAATGAATCGAAAAAAAAACATTGAACCAATTAGTAGAATAATTATTTGATTTTCAGGGTCATTAAATTAAATCGATTGGAATTGAATGTTGCAAACAAACGAAAATTGAAATAAAAAAACCTACTTGTGATGGATGGGGAATATTCGGATTATTACTGCTGTTGTTGCTGTTACTGCTGCCGGTATTGCTGTTGGCATTGGTGGTCACAACATTATTTGGCTGCGGTTGTTGTTGTGGAGCAGTCCCGGCAGCATTATTATTGGCTACCGATGTGGGTACAACAGGTGATGCTGCTGTACCACTGGTGCTAGAAGAAGTGGAACCAGAAGTAGAAACAACAGCAGCAGCAGCAGTAGCAGCTTGAGCAGCAGAATTTTGTGATAATTTTGCCGCTAATAAACGTTGTGCAAGTGGACTTTGCATGCGTATGGCACTCTGTTGTCGTTTTTCAAAACACAAAACAAAAAAAGAATCGGGTCCAGACAAACACAACAACAGGACAACGACACACACACAAAAAGACAGGCACAACATACATTAACAGAATCGGGTCAAAAGCAAGCATCCAAAGGTCCAAAACAAAAAAATATGAAAATAAAAAACAAAACAAAACAAAAAAAATGGTAAAAATTTTGAACAAAACAAAACAAAAACCAATGTAAAAAGCTGTCATTTACACAAACGGCAAACGGTGAATAACAATGAAAATGGCTATTCACTTACGTTATAAGGTTCGGATGTTTTATTGCCAGATGATGGCAAAGATTGTGGCGGTGGTGGATATGGTGAACCACCATCCTGAGATCCTGGAGTATTTGGTGGATATGGCGATTGTTGTTGTGATGTCGGGGGTGGTCCACTGTTTGCGGGACCTGGTGGCGGTCCAGAGCTGACATTTGCATTGGATGAGCTATGTGGGTGAGAAGGTGGCGGTGGCTGTCCATATGGTGATCTGTTTGGATATTGACCAGATGCACCACCAGTATTGTTAGGCAAAGGATATCGATGACTACCAGGTGGTGGTGGTGGTGGTGGATAACCACTATGTTGACTATGATGTTGTTCATATGAATTACGTGCCATTGATGGCGATGGTGGTGGGGGTGGCGGATGTGGTCCGTTTGCAGATTCATTGCTTGCATATGGCGGCTGTTGTTGGGGACCATAACCACCATGACCATAATAAGATGCATGTGGATGATGTTGAGGATGCATCATTGGACCATTCATGCCCGGTGTCATACGTGATCCATAAGGACTTTGATTACCACCTCCGCTATTTGGAGGCGGTGGCGGTGCACCTTCAGGTGCTGCTGAATTCGATCGTTGTGGATAATGTGGCGGCGGTTGATCAGGATTTGGACCATAACCATGACCCGGTGGAACATCCGAAGGAGAAGGATGAGGTGGTGGCGGTGGATAACCACTGTTTGAATGAGGTGGAGGTGGTCCTGAATTGGGCGGTGGACCACTTGTATGGCCATAAAATGATCCTAATTCGGACAAAAAGAATCGATTCAGACACCTTTGTTACAATCACCATATTCCATACCTGTAGCATTTGGCATCGGTGGATAATGTTGGGGCTGTCTTGCGGATCCGTATTGATGACCAGGTGGTGGTTGTGGTTGTGGAGGTGGAGGCTGTTGCGCAGCGGTTGCAGATTTGGGCCCACGAGCCGGGGATGATGAAGATGATGATGATGAAACAGCAGCAGTATCTTCATCAGCAAATGGATCTTTAGCGCTAACACTTTCATGATTGCCAATATTATTGGCATGATGTGGATGATGAGAAGGATGATGTTGAGGATGATGATGATGATTTGGACCGGCCGTTGAATTTGGTGGCGGGGGACCACCATATGGCGTTTGTTGCTGTGAATTGTGATGAGGATAATCCGGATGAGAAGGATGATGAGGTGGCGGTGGAGGTGGATATGGTCCTTGTTGTGAATGTGGATGATGATATGGAGATGCATTTCCCGGTCCGTTTGGTCCATAATTGTTTTGATCCATATCGGGTTGGGGTGGCGGAGGATAACCAGGATGCATACCTTGATGTTGTGGATGGCCACCAGGATGATGCCCAGGATGATATGGTCCAGGTTGCCCTGGAGGTGGACCAGGCACACCACCACCACTATTAGATGGTGAATCATTTGGTGAAAGACGAGATGTAGTTGGTGTGGAACGACCAGAATTAGTTAATTTGGATTGTGCAGTGGTCGATTTTTTGCGGTTAACATTCGATGCATCCGCTGCAGCCAATAATGGGCCAACATCAATACCACCACGATCAAACTTGCATTCGAATGCTAACAAATGCTTCATATATTGTTTGCGAAGTGTATATGATGCACTTGAGGAATTGGCAATATTACATAATTGAGCACAATCTTTCCACATTTTGGAATTGGTCACTTCCAGGTAACCACCACGTTCTTTCACCAACATATAAAGTCGAAAGAGATCGACCGGAACTTTGCTTATGGTCGGCACCTGATTCAATGGTTTGCCGCATTCATCGAGAAATTGAAAATATTTATCTAAAAATGGTTTGCGATCAGGATCATCAGACATCTCATATAACTTTTGTACATTGTCAGGTCGCTATAGGAGAAAGGAAGAAAACAATAATATTAACACCATCAGACGCAAATAATCAAATCGGTATCAAAAACCTTTGAATTATGTGCAGTAATATGGACAGTATCACCACCAACTGAATATTGTGAATTGTTTCCACTGTTGATTGCCGGTGATGATGGGGCCGGAGTTCGTGGCCAACTAGGACTGGATACTGAATCGAAATCATCGTGAAATGATGATAATGATGCTGCACCTGGCGATCCAAGATTGGATGTATTTGGCGTGGTTGCATGCAGCATTTGTGATGATGGATGATGTGCCGATTTAGCATTATGCGATTTATTATTACTGACATTTGCTGTCGCTGTACTGGTATTACTATTGGAATTACTATTATGTGGCGTCGATGATGAGGACGAGGATTGTATATCGGCGGATGCACAAGAATCATCGGCACGATCCTGTGATGATGCTGTCGAGGTTTGGCTTACTTCATCCATTATTGGCGGTGGCTGTGGCTGTAACCTTTGATGATGGTGATGGTGATGATGTTGAGAATGAGCACCATTATTGGTTATGTTATTTGGATTATTCGATTGGGATGATTCATTCGCACCATAAACTGAGAGGAAATAAAGATATTATCACCATAATCATAGGGCAGAGATAATGTTACTCACCATTTGCATGTTGATGGTGATGCGGCGAATGATGGCCACCACCAGAACCAGAAAGCATTGATGCCGGTGAATTGGCTTGAGGTGGCATCGATTGTGGATGTCCATGAGGCGGTGGTGGATGAATCGAATGTCCACCAGGCTGGCCATGGGGTGGTATCGAGGAATTGGGATGGTGATTTGGTGGTGGTGGACCATAAACACTTGAAGGATGCGGAGGTGGTGGAGGCGGATATCCGACATAATTTTTATTCATTTGTGCCTGTTGTTGTTGCTGATGCGGTGACATTTGTGGATGCGGATGTCTCATTGAATAATATGGCGCAATATTCCCTGCCGATGATCCAGGTGGTGGATGATGCGATCCTAGGGGTGGTCCTGGAGGTGGCGGTCCAGACATTCTATGATGCGACGAAGGAGGACCATAATTTCCATATGCAGACGGCATATGTTGCTGTTGTTGTTGAGAAGGAGGAGGTTGTGGCGGTGGTGGTTGTGTTCCGGGTGGACCACCACTTGATACTGGAGGTCTATTGCCTGGAGGACCACCGCCAGGATATTGACTAGGTGGTGGCATCATCATTGGTGGCATTGGTGAATATTGTGGATGATGTTGATGCGGATGATGAGATTGATGATGTGGCGGTGGTGGCCCATAATTACTTGATGGATGCTGCGATGGCGGGGGTGGATATCCACCGCCGCCAACAGCACCACTACTTGGATGATGTAAATTTCCCGGATGTGGAGGCATCATTTGTCCACCACCATAAGGTGCATAGCCACCATAACGTGCTTGTGTTTGCTGTTGTTGTTGTGGATGACTAGTGGCTGATGATAATACCGAAGATGATGAAGTCGGTATAGATGTTGATACCATCGATGGTGATGATGCCGATGATGAATGATTGATTGATGATGAGGATGTGGGAGGTGATGGGGTTGGAATAGGTGTTGCCGGTTTGCTACCACCACCCCCGCTGTTGCTGCCAACACCGCCACTTGCAGGTGTTGCACGTCCAGTTTCTTCCATAATTTGTTTGTTGTTTGGAAAAATTCAATATTTCATATGCCAATCATTAATGTTGTTTTTGAGGTTGAACAAACAAAAAATAAATTACAAATTTGTTGACTAATGTAGATAGAAATATTCACACAATATCATTATTATTATTGTCCAGCTCTACAGGTATCACTATTGATCACTCTTTGCTGATGATTGGTTTGGTGGTTGTTGTTCAAAGATCACAGAATTTGCTTCACACACAAGTCGTAGTTTTGAGTGAATCAATCAGAAATTCTGCAAATCAAACACATGTGAAACAAGCTATGGCTGATCAATGATGATGATGTTTTGGGTTTCGGAACAAACCAAACAACAAAAAACAGTAAGCCTTAGCAGGCAAGCAGGCAAAAAAGTTGTTTTTGTTGGAAATAGAAGAAAACATCAATAACAACAACAACATTCGTATCTTGAATTTCTTCTTAGTTGAATATATATTTTCTTTCACTTCTTCATATTCGTATGGGACTCTTTTTTATTTTATTACAGCAACCGTGAATGACGATGGTGAACAGAGTCGACGACTACGACGGCAGCCATGATGTTGACGATGGTGATGGTAGCAACAGCATTTTTTTGATTTCGCTAATACCCAGCGACTATAAACAAGTAGGCAAACATATAAATAGCGGCGGCCGTAGTCGTCGTCGACAATAACAACAAAAAACAAAATCCAAAAATGTATCCTATGTGAATGGATGTTTTTTCTGATTTTCTTGATGATAATCACAAGAAATTTTTGATTGGAGAAAAATCACATCACATTTTATCACACACAAATACCGACACAGAATTTAGTTATTTTGATGATCAATACACTCAGAATCAATCATGACCAATTCCAATCTATTTGCTATGGTGTCAACCAAACAACCGAGTCATGTGAAAAAATGAAAGCAAATTTATTAGTTAATGTTTGAAGAATATAATTTTCAAAGAATTATTTCATAGGAAATAAAATTGCCCATTGTCTGATCAAAGGAAAAAAGCAATTTTCCCTATTTAATGGATGCTTCTGGAAATAGATGTGTGTATAGGGTTAAAGGGTAATTCAAACAATCCACCGACCAACAAATTCAAATCCATACTTCTATCTGACTAGAAAATATTATCAAACCAATGGTCATAGGATTGTTATTGTTGTTAGGTTTTTCCATTTATTTTGTTTGTTTGATGATCAAAAACAAAACAAGATGCTGATGGAAAGGATGGTGATGAGGAGCGAAAAATTATATCATCATCATTATAGATTTTTCAAACAACAAGATAAGTAATGGCTGTGATGAATTTACAACAAAAATTAATAGCGGCAATAAGAAATGATGATGATGATGAACGAACAAAAAATATTATAGCGGTATATCATCATCAAAATTTTGCAAACTTACAAACTAAAATAATTATGAAGCCGACGAAGAAAATGGACACTGATGATGATTATAGTGATTATAGTGATGATGGTGGTGGGCAACAACAATCAAAACAGCAAAACAAACCAAACACTGTGAATGAACCGTGTTGGTCGGATGATGACGACAGAAATTTTTTTCTGTATTTTGGATAATCGAAAATGAAATAAATTGGCCAAATGAAACTTACTTTGTGTGATATTCAACGATGATGATGATGATGATCGAGGAAAAAACGAAGATGAATGGAAATTGTTTTTTTGTTGTCAGAAATTATTTTATTATTTAACTCAGGACTGAGCAGAGAAGAAAATCAAACCAAACACAATAACAACAGAGTGAGTGAAAAATATATTCCCATCGTGTGCCAGAGCCTAATATCTTTGCCACTACTACTATGGCAGTAAAAATCAATTTTGGTTCGAATAAAGCAAACACGCACGTTCAATTCGAATCACACAATGGGATTTTTTCGTTTTTTTCGGCGGTGGAAGAAATGGGGGAAAACTGCCACTATGATGACTGCCACTACTACCGCCTATCATCAATTATCGTTATTCCTCAGAGGGAAAAACTTGTATTTTTCGTTGGAATTGGAATTTCATTTCTCATTTTTTCTCATTTTATCGCATGATCCATTCCAGCATTGATGATGATTTTTTTGGTTAAGTTTGTCAGGATATGAAAACTAACTCAACAACAATAATAATATAGTGGCTGGCTGGCTATATACACACCAACACGAAACGAATTGAACGAAAAAGCAATTTACGAAATACGACCGACGGGGTGTTATTATTGTTTGCCCACTTTTGATATTTCTTTTTTATTTCTTTTTCTGTTTGTTCGTTTGCTTTCTATCGTGAGGGAAATTTTCTCTCTTTTCCCTTCAAAGGATGATAATAATAAAATGCATTCGGGCACAGCCATCGATAGTTGTAGTGGTGGCGCAAATTATCGATGGTTTTCGTTTGATTTGGTTCGGAATTCAGAATTGAAACAAATATTGATATTTCCATACATTCAAATGATTAAGAAATTTTCTTTTGAAAATATTTTCAAATTTTAATGAACAATTTTCCCAACATCCAAAATCAAATATATCCATGAACAAAAGACAAAGAATAAAGACACATTTATGGCAGTAGCAGCATTGAGGATAGCTATTTTTCTTAGTTAAACAGCCAAAAAAGCGCGCGCATTCATCGATAATAAAATGTTGAAACAAATTTGGGTTGATAATATGTGTTGGGCGCATGCGTATGCCGCAATTTTCGAAGAATAAATCATCGTGGCATTTGTAGTAGTGGTTCATTTAAAAGTTATCGAAAATATCGATACTTTATTCATTTTTAACGATGTGGATATTTTTCATCGAACGAATGAGGGAATTGGGATGATTTTTTTTGTCTGAAACAACCCAGTCTACCAACCAAACAAGCGAAAATAATGAAAAAATCGCTAAATGTCGGCCCACGATGACGACGACCAACTTGATTGATGATAATGATGTTTATGGTAGTGGCATTTTTGAATTTTTTGTTGTTTTTATATTGCTTATGTTGGGCACACAATAAACTGCTTGCTGTCAACCATTTTTTTCATCATTTTTCAATACAAATGCATTAATGCCATGCACATGCTACACAAAAAACAGACTTTAAGGGAGAAATAAGCGAAATTTTCTATATGGCAGCCTCTCTTGTCGTTGAAATAAGCAATATTTATACAGACATCAGTGATGATTTTTGCCATTCAATTCAGTCCAGATAAATAATTCTCAAGAAATGCAAATTTCAAGTTTATTACATAGTCAACGAGAAAAAGGAATAAATCTTTTTTGACCGAGCCAAATGAATCTTCGTTTCATTTTTTAATGAGAAACAAACATATGATTGGCGAAAAAGCAATCGAAATTAATTTTCGAAAAATAAAAATTCCAAGAATCAATCAAACAACGAAATCCAAATCATTGGAGATTACGGCGTAATTTTGTTGCTGAAATGAATGAGAAAAATCAATTTAGTTCATTTTCAACACTCTTGGCGCCCGCTCAACAACGCTCAAAATACGCGCGAAAAATTTTTCAATTTAGAGAAAAGAGAAACCAGACGCTAATGATGATGATGATCCTGAAACCAAAACTAAAACAAAAATAAATGATTTTTGGTTGGCTGATGGAATAATTCACAAGAATGGATGTTATTTTCATGTTCTATATATTTTGTTCATTTTGTTTCGTTTTTTGGAAAAGATTTGTATCCAGCAATAAATAAATGGACACGAACAATGATAAATTCCTGTTGAGCGATATTGATTATCATAATGGAAAATGTCCATATATTCATTGGCAAGCGAAAAAACAACCAAATTGTGCCATTATTACTGAATTGAATTGAGTGGGATAAATAAGTGGTGTTTGAGTATTGCATAATGAAAATTATATGATAATGGAACAACTTTCCATATTCATTCATTCATTGTGTTTTCTTTCCTTCTTGGTTTCATTTTTTCTGAAAAAATGGAGAAAAAAATAGCCCAAATTTATTCTGAAATTCCGGAATAGTAACAGACAGACAGACAGAATTGCAATAAATTGCCACAAAAAAGACTTTTATCCATTCATGTCCGGCTGTGACTGACATTGAAGAAGAAAAAACAAAACAATTTCAACTAAACGATGATGATGATGATGATGATGATGATGATTACAAGTTCATTGCATCCAAATTTTCTTTGTTTTGATGGAAATTCTCCAAACAAATCTATTGTCTGCCTGTTTGCTTAGCCGAACCCTTTGTCTTGGTTGCATTTTGAATTTTAAGTGAACAAACAGACAACCGGCTTAATTCTTTTTTGTTTTGTTTGGATTTGGAAATTCGCTTCAATCACTAATGGTTGGTTGTCTCGAATGAATGAATAAATCAGAAACCTTAATGGAAATTTCTCATCATGTTAAAGGGTGTGCATAGATTATATCCGATATCGATTTCAATTCTGGTGATGGAGAGTGATGATGCCTTTTTCTTTCTACTTGTCCTCCAGATATATTTGTGATTGTGGCAAATCTTGAAATCGATTAGTAACCTGCAATTTCAACTGCTGCCACCACCACCAACAAAAACGAACGAAAAGAAATTGAACAGCCCTTCTTTATCATCATCTTGTGATGGTTCTTGTTGTTCGAATAAGGGATAGACTGAGTAAGAAGCAAAGACTTTTGATTGCATTCAACTTTTTTTCTTGACACCCAACCTCGATCTCATCAGAAACGAAGAAAGGGGAATTTTTTTTAAGAAAACCAAAAATAATAATGATGCTTACCTGTTCTTTTTTTTGCTGTCTGATGTAACCAAACCAACCAGAAAAACGAAATAAGAATTTGAAGAGTTATATTCATTTTGAGGGAGAGAGAGAGAAAGAAAACCTGATTTGACTTTTTGCAATCATATATGATATACCCTGTCTGTTGGCCAATTGTTGAAAAGAATCACCATCACCATCGGATGATAATGGTGATTTTGTTCTTTTTCCCGATTTTTATCGTCGGAAAAATGAAAACCTAAAAAGCACTACCGCCATCTAATGTTTGAAACCAGATTTGGTAACAATTTGGAATATGAAATGACTGAAATAAATTGGAGCAAATAACATGTTTAATGAATTATTCTATAGAAATGATAGTGTTTTAGAGAATTTATGTATAATCAATGAATCAATGGATGACTATCGCCAAACTTTAACAGCACCATTGCGACCACAAGAAACAAGATATTGATTGATATTGATCAAATCTGTTATGGAATCCTGATGAGCGAATGACATCAACTGCTGATCCATTGGACAATGGTGTTGTTCTTGATATAATTTGTTCATCATGGATGATGTTTCCATTTCCATCACACGAAACACACCATCATCTTGTAGAATTTGCTGATAGGTTGTTAATGGCAACAAATTATTACTATTACTACCACCACTGTTATTATTGACAATCGCTTCCGATGATGATAGTGTCGATGATGTTTTGGCCAGCGTTGTTGTTGTTGACGGTGACGATGATACTGTTGATGAAACATTATCTGGCTTTCTTGATGATGATGATGATGGTAGTATATTGAACGTTGATGCTGAGCCAGATGATGATCCAGTTTGGCTTGTTGAAGATGGGCCGTAATAATTCGAATCAATCGAACATATTGATGGTGGGTGTGAGAATGGTTTTTGTTTTTGCTGTTGTTGGTGTTTGGTGAGCGTTGTTGGTGATGATTTATTGAGATAACAATAATTACATGCTTTATAAATGGGATCACTGATGATATAACTTTGTTCAGGGTTCATCAGATCCCAATAACGTATTTTCATGTCCGAACCGGCTGCGATTATGGCCTGTGTTGTTGTTTGTGTCACTAATGGCAGTATTGCATTCACAACAGCACCAGACGACGACGACGACGACGATGATGATGATTGCTATCAATGGATTGGAATCATGTTATTTGGGTCTTTTGGTAATTTGTCCGATTCGACACTTACCTCCGATGTTTTGGCACTGTTGGATGCAGTTAAAATTCGATTTTTGGATAAAAGATTGAGATCCCAATGTGTAACATCATAGTTTCCAAAAACTAACATAACAAAATGAATCGGTTAGAACAATGGATCAAACAAAAAACAATCAACAAACCGGAAGTATAAAGTCCACTTGGTGTGTGTTTGAGCTGTGCGATTCGAGTCGGTTCGGCAGAGTTGTAAATGACATTGAAAATTTTCAATTGAAATCTCAGATCCAAACCACAAATAAAACCTAATGCTGTTGCAGCATACAGTGCCAATGGATCGCCATCAATGGCCGTTATAACTCGATGTGATGGAGGTACGGACATTTTCATGACAGGAACATTGAAAAATGGCGTATAAAAATAACGTGTATCATAAACATAGATCCATGAATCGGATAGGGACACGGCAAACATTGTTTCACTCAATGCGCAGATCGATGTTATCAAATAGGGCACCGAAGCGCGAATCGAACCTATTTTGAATGCACAGGTCAATTCGAATTGCGATTGGCCCATTTCGAATGCATGCAACTGACAATCATTGGAATAGGCAATTATAAATTGACCGCAATTCACCATGCCTTTGAAATTGACTGGCGAACCATTTTGAAATTCTAGGCGAAATTGAAATCTTGATCGGCTGATTACATAACGCGATGGATCATCACAGAGGTCCCAAAGCCGTATCGAACCATCGTCCGAGCATGTGACAAACATGTTGGTTTTGGAAATGGCGGTCATTCGATTGACACTTGATTTATGTTCATAAAGATGAGCCACAAGATAACCCATGGGTCTTATCATTGGTGATTGGTATTTGTTCATGACCGATGCGAATGGAATGAAATTATTTTTTTTATGCTGTTCCAACATCTCTACATCACGTAAGTATGGTGGACATTCGTACAACAATGGTTCAACATCTTTCATTTCGTGTGGCTTTAATCTTGGTTCATTAGTGGTGTGTTGAGCTTGTTGCTGTTGTTGTTGGTGATGTGGAGTGCCATCCAAATGATTATTAGGTCCGAACATATGTAGCCACTCTTGATTAGCACTGGATGCTTGATCATCGTTGCCGGTTTGATGATAGAACTGGTTTGATTGAAATAATTGTACTTCGCGTGTACGCATCATATGGTAATGTTTTAGATAAATAAAATTTGATAATGTTTCGCAATCACGAACCATTGGTTGGTAATTACGTTTATTGCGATAAATCTTAATTAATAGATCCCGCAATGCGAATAATTGCTGTTCAATAACCGGTGTAATATTATCAGCCAAAAGGCGTTTATAAATGATATTGTGTTTGAGCAATGATATATCATAATCTGGATAGGATAATTTCTTTTCTAAAAGATTAAAAAATGATATCAAAACTTCTTGATCTTTGGCCATGAGAACAGCCTCATAGATTGGTCGTGGAATCGGCTGTTCGACCGAACGACGATGAAACAATTGTACGGTAAAACATTTAACATTCAATTTGAAAAATGAGCTCAATATTGGCAATACTTTTGTATTCAGATCGACCGTTAATAAATGTGATTGTAAGTTTCGGAGGAAATGTATGATTGCATTGGTTATCCAACGATTTGGATGATAAATTAATGGCATTATTTCCCGCAATAGTTCTATGATAACATTCTTAGCAATTAAGCCTTGCTCAACCAAATATGCAATCGAGGTGATTGTTTTGGCAACGATAATTTCCTCAGCATCACAAAGACCATGCTGCAATAATGGATGCAATATGGCCGAACACTGCACCCCCAAATATGATGCTATTATGACAATATTATCAAAAAAGGATATTCGCAATTTGAAATCGTTCTGCAAAACAAATCGTTCAATTAGAAACAGAGACACTTGCAAAATACACTTACTTTATCATTGAGAAATGTAATGATATGGCTCAGTATAACGTCGTTGGTCTTTTGTCGACCAAAAAATGTACATAATTGCGAACAATTCTGCGGTGTTAATAACAATACTCGTCGTACACAATTGTTCGGATCGGTTATAAGAATGGATACTAAATTTTGAAAATACTTATGCAATAAATTCAATTCTTCATCGTAATTATGATCACAATATTGATTTAGAAAATCTAGCGCAATTTTCGACAGCCGACCAATATTTCTTGCCATACAAATTCGAACGAATGTATTTTTCTCGTTTCCAATACATTTCTACAACGAGGAAAATGCTGAGAAAATAATCTACAATTTCAACAAAAAAAATTACCTGAAATTTTTCCATAAGATAATCGGTAAAAAGATTATTATCACTGGACGGGAGACGGGTGACATATTCTAGTAATAATGTTATCGAATCAATCGATTCACCACGCACACGATGATCACAATCGGTAAGGCCATTCACCAGATAAGGAATCAAACGATCAATAATGAAAGGCGATAATATTGATGATGACATTGCCATCCGACAAATTAGACGTTGTGCTTCAATCTTGCAGAATATATGCTTCAGACTACGAATCGATGATGTCAGTGCCATCAACAATATTAATGTTGCCTTGGCATTCTCATTGTTGATGACATTCAGATAGTAATCAATATATTGTCGCAAATATAAAACTTTGGCATCCGGTGGTAAGCGTATCAGATTTTCCATTAACGAATATAATTCATCGAAATATGAGGGGAAAAATCCATTTTGAAGTTGAGCTAAAACTTGTTCGCATGAAAATCGTTGTTGTGGATCCAAATTGATCAGATTTCTCACAACGTTACGCATTGATTCGTTTTGTATTCGTTCTAATGATTCTTCTGTGTGGCTATCTAGAACACGTTTATCTTTATAATTGAGTATAGCCCCCAAATCGAAAAGATAGTTATCCGAATATATTTCGGCCAGAATACAACCCAGACTAAACATATCCATTTTGGGTGTTAGCTGTCCCTCTTGCAAGAACAAATTGAATATATTCGTATTCTGTTGCTGAATATATGATGTAGCCATGCTAGTATCCGCTTGATTACTATTATTACTTTGATTCGATGATGATGATATGAAACGTTCGGGCGCAATATTGCAACAACGGCGACGTGATGTATCGAAAAAATAATTAAAAAATGTTGGGTTATCTTCGGGCAATCGAATTGGTTTATAGGAGGCAAAATCGCTAACAATCACCCATAAATTGGATGTGACGAGAATATTTTCCAATTTCAAATCGCCATGATAGATATTATAATTATGACACCATTGCAGACAACGAAGTATTTGATAAACGATCCATGCTTTTTCAATATCGGTCATAAATGGCCTCGTCGATAGTCGATCATACAGTGAATAGCGTACAAATTGCCGGGCCATATAGGCGAAATTTGTACGAATTTCAACAATACGAAATGATGCGATCGACACATTTTTGGCCGTCAATTTAGCCAAATTGAGCAGATCTTTTTTATATTGCTCCAATAGAATACTTGGGTCTTCGTGGCTCAACACTTTGACCACTGTATCACCTTCGTTATGCGAACATAGGGCAACTTTGAGAAATTGTGTTTGACCAAGCGAACATTTGTATTTAAAGTCGGGTACTTCGTTCAGGTAATAATCGATTGGCCGGATGACTGTTTTCACCGAACTAACCAATTGATTTCCCATTTTCTATTTGTTGTTGATCAATTTGTCAATGCATAACCGACAACTTTTCCAATATGAAAAATGAGGTCAGAAATCAAAAAACTTTCTCAATGACAATGGCGGGCGTTTGTTACAATGTTTGTTTATCACAAATTATATTTCTAAAGAGAAAACTTATAAATATGAAATGCATTCATTTCAATTAATTTACCTGTTTTGTTTGGATCTCAATAAGAGAATAAAATGATTGCATGCATAATGTGAAAGTGGTGAAAAATTTTTCCAAATGTTTTAAAATTCAAAAAAAATCCACCATTGAAAAAATATGAAAAATATGAGACGCAGAATTACCCAATATTACAGTAACATTCTGGCATTCTTTTCTCAATCGATATCCATTGCAGAAATCGAAAACCAATGACATACTGTAGAAACGAGCGGCTTATTTTTCAACTATTTCCACCTAGTGACAAGCAACAGAATAAAAAATGTAAACATTTCGCGTGGCGCTTTCGAATGAACAAGTTGAATCATTTTGGTTGACAATTTCCAACATCGATATTGGTTGTTTTTGTTTGTTTTGGTGACATAATTATTTCAATTAATTAAAGTTTGTGTTTTGTTTAGTGTTTTAGTTTGGTTGATCAATATTTGTAAGTTTTATTTACTATTTACATTTATTCATTCATTCAATTAATCGTGCATCCAATTCAAACGAAAACAAAACATTTTGCCGTATTGATCGATAATGATCAACAAATATAGTCATGCCGTAAACATGATAATTGGTTGACAAAAGAGAAAAAGCAACAATAAAATGTAACTGTCAATTTGTGTGGCCAAATCGAATCAATTTGATTAATGGAACTGTTGAAAACAATAAAAATGATAATCTGCTAAATCATTCGCCATATAGGTTTCGAATTACATTTGTTTTGTTGTGACTTGAACATATCCTTCTTTGCCAATATTGATTAATCAATTTTCAGTTTATAGCCACACAATTTTTTGCTTAGCAATAAAAATGATGAATGAAAAACAACAATATTTTTGTTTACTTCGTTTGGCCAAAGCAAACAAAAATTTAATTTTTCATCACAGAACCAAAAAAGCTGGAAATGCGCAATGAGAAAAATAATTATGTTTGTTTTGTTTTTCTTGACATACACCTTATATACTATAATATATAGCGAGAATATCTATCCACGTTGACATTTCAATTTTTATTTTGCCTGTCAGTTGACTGGTTGGCGTCCATTCCGTGCTAATCATTTACTGCAAAAAGCAATAATTTTTTCTTTTTCAAAAATTTGAACCGAAAGTTGTTTGGTGGTACATTTTTCTAGCAAATGATCAAATTGCCTCGAAAATGCTATTGAATTATAATTGCTTGATTTATCGGATTTGATTTCTGCCAAATCATGAATTGTCATGTGACATTGATTGTTTCTTCCAAAACAATAGTGTTGTTTTCAAAATTTTACCAAATCAAAAACAATATTTAAAGGAAAGAAAGGGGTGTGAATGTGAACGATATATCGATTTCAATAAACAACAACACAGCAGATCGTCATCGTGCTCGATATTAACTGAAAAAGCAACTTGATTTCATACATAAATCATTGATCAATCGAATGGATGTTGTTTTGTTGATTTGTTGACATTGAAATGATTTAGGATTTTATTTTCATTTTAATCATTGTTTTGCTTGTTGTGAATTTTCAGTTTTCATGTTTCGTTGTCGTCCACTGAATACGAGTTACGTCAAAACATTTTTTTGTTTGGTCGCTGTTTAAAAATTCCACGAAAAAAATTTGATACTTTTTCTTGTGTTTGTTCGGGTATGTAAGAAGGGTTGAATTATTTTAGTAAATTTGTTGCGAATGTTTGCTTGGTAACAATATTGTTGTTATCTCCTTGTTCAGTCAGTGAAAATAATCTTATTTTTGATAACCGTGTTACTAAGCTTGAAATTAGTCATTTTTGGTTGTTGTTGGAAATATTTGTTTGCTTTATCAATCAAATGTATGCCCACAAAATTGTTATTGTTTATGATCTAAATTTATAAAAATTTTATAAATGAAAATTATTAATGAAATTTCGATGTTGTTTGCAAAAAGCAATCTATCGATTGATTGATTTGATTGAGATTGCTCAACTAAATCAATCAATTATCTATGATAATCATTACAAGCAAGAATGATTTAAACATTTTTGATGAATGGTGGTGTTGATTTGATCATTATTGATTTGATTGGATCCAGAAACAGTAACGCCACATTGGTTATAATGATGATGAGTGCGTTTTTTTGTTGATTACCTAAACAAACATGACAATAGAAAGAGAACAAGACACAATGGATAACAATACTGATGATAATCAACCATGTTCATCATCCATTTTGATACGCCGAAAGAGTAATCAATCCATCAAATGTAAGCTAACAATAAGCGTAGGTGTGTGTTTGGTGTGTTTGTAAAACTTGAAATAAAGTTGAAAAGGTCAATAGTTGTTTGGTTGTGTGATTTGAGTTTTTCAGGTTAACATAATTGCATTTTCCTCGTTCACCTATTGTTGATTGGAATTGAAAATTTGATTTTTAAAAAATGATTTAACTTTTTTGTTTTGTTGAATAGCTTCTCCACAACGTTCAGCCGTCGGCGTCGTGAGTAACGTGCCGACTTCATCAGCATTATCATCGAAAACGACGACAAGAAGATATCGTCATTTGGAGGAAGATCGTCATCTTGATACAAACGAATTAGAATCGATTGAAACTGCTAGTGCTACTAGTCCATTGATAATGTCGGATGCCATGGAATCACCAAAAACTTCATCGCCTAGACATGATGGTTTAGCTTTGGTAAACCGTCGTCATTATGATCGTGTCTATTACTTTAGCCAGTTGATGGCCCTGTTCATATTCATTCTGGTATTGATATGGCTGATTGAGCATTTGGGTGGCATCGGTTTCTCCAGCCCGGCCCAAACCTTTAATTTTCATCCATTGTTCATGGTTCTTGGTTTCATTATCATCTACAGTAACTGTAAATAATGATGACTGTTGTGATATAGAAAATGTCCTTATAATTGTTATTTTGCCAATTTCTAGCCATGTTAATCTATCGATCATTTCGGATGGAATTGAAACATAAGCTGAAACTATTCCATACAATAATGAATGGATCGGTCATGTTTATATCGTTTTTCGGATCAATAGCAGCCGTCTATTTCCACCAGAAAGCTAGTATAACGCATTTTTATTCCTTGCATTCGTGGTTGGGAATTTCTACTTGGTTAATGTTTGTAACACAGTTTTGTTCCGGTTTCGTTGCATTCTTATTTCCTGGTGCATCATTTTCACTGCGTAAAATGATGATGCCATATCATCGTTATTTTGGAATCGCTACATTTGCGTTAGCATCGGCTACATGTTTGACTGGCATAAACGAGAAAGCTATATTTGCATTCAAAAAGTATGTGTTTTGGTTGTTTTGTTTGTTTTGATTGTTTCTGATTGAAATTTGTGTTGAAAACAGTCCATCATATAGCTCGATGGCATGGAATGGCATATTGACCAATATGATTGGTTTATTATTATGTTTATATGGGGGCACTATCATCTATTTGGTCACCAAACCAGAATATCAACGACGACCATTACCTGAAGAGCAAGTGATAAATCTTAGCTTTGATTTGGCATCCAATAATTGACATATTTTTTTATTTTTTCTTTTTTTTATTATTTGCGTATGATTATTTTTGCCATTGAATTGGTTATGATTGTCTGGATGCAACCAACAACACCCAAAACCAAAAACAAACAAACAAACCATTCATCACCGTATAGAATGACAGGACCGAACCGTAGATCCTCAATTTCCTATTCAGCCACTCATTAATTTCTCCTACCTTCATTACCTAATCCTCATTTTTTCCATTGCACCAACGATTCACAAGGAATGAATGAACATTCTTTGGCCAACATGATTTTATCATTTTCTTTAATTTTGTTATTTATGCATTTTCACTAACAAGACTAAGACCCAAAAAACAAACATACTGTTCAACATGAAAAATAATATAAACACGGTTCATCAATATCATCAGGATTGTCATTACCAACAATTTGAGTTTGACGGAAAAACATGAAAATTGTCATTTTCATATAATAAATTTATTTTCACTTGATGATTGATTGATTGAATCTATCTATCTTAATATTTGTCACACACACACACGCGCAAAAAGCAAATAAAATGATTTTCAATTACAAAACAATTGTCAATTTGATAAAGGTAAAGAGCATCACCAAACAACAGCATAAATCATTGAAAAGTACAATTCAATTTTGGCTGGAAATTCCCCATCCACTTTGTTTTCTGTGGTTCGATAATCCTGCACGGCGGTGAATTTTCTTTTTAAAAAATCTAGAATTTTCCTAAATGAGGGAAAAATTTGATAACTTTTAGCCAACCACTCCATCCACCCTCACCTATCTGCCCAAGACAACAACAACAGACCTAAAAAACAAAAATCGAACCATTTTTGCTAAATGTTCATCAAGTGTGAATGCCGTTGTCATTGACGATTTCAATAATGATAATGATGGCGATGATATCAAAATATTGTGCAAAATCACATCCACAACGAGATTATCAAACATTTTGTGCAGAAAAAAAGAAAATTGGCGATTTTGAGCAGACATTTTCTGCTCAAGGCTGTTGATTGTATTCGTTTGAATTTGATGATGTTGTTGATGGAGACGATGATCACCAAGACAACAACAAGGATGATATGGATTTTGGTCATGTTAGTAATAAACATTAGCATTCATCTGAGTCAATATCATAAATAGACAGTGTTAATATTGTTTTTCCTCTCCACATAGCAAATGATATAATGATTATGTATGGAATTTAATCATCATTTCATTTATGCACAATGCCATAATGCGATATGTTAATTGAAGAACAAGTGATGTCAATTGTGGCTTTCTCTCCACTCAAACTTTCTCTATAAAAAGGTGTGACAGCAATGCAGCAGTTGTCATTGATGATCACTTGTAATCAACAGTGAAGCAGCCACAGAGAAAATACCTCCATTTTTCAACATTTCCAGACTTGAATCAAAATGAATAAACCAACTTTGGGTTATTGGGATCTTCGTGGCGTAAGTGAATTTGGTTTTTCAATTTAATTTTCATTTCACTTTGAATTTGCTTGCATAGTTGGGTCAGCCAATCCGTTTAATGTTGGCCTATGCTGGTGTCGACTATGTTGACAAACGTTATACACTTGGTCCAGATATGGATCGTTCTGAATGGCTCAAAGATAAATTCAATTTGGGTTTGGATTTTCCAAATGTAAGTTGAAATGCAAATAGCCGAAATGGCTTTAATTTTGAATTTTGTTTGAATGTTTGATAAAGTTGCCATACTATATTGATGGTGATGTGAAAATGACCCAATCGATGGCCATTCTCCGTTATTTGGCACGCAAATACAATATGGATGGCAGCAATGAACAGGAACGTGTCCGAATTTCAATGGCTGAACAACAAGTCTATGACATGTTTATGGCTATGGTCCGTGTCTGTTATGATCCGAACATGGAAAAATTGCGCGTTGACTATCTCAAAACATTGCCCGATTCCTTGAAATTGATGTCCAAATTTATGGCCAATCACGATTTTATCGCTGGTTCCAAAATTTCCTATGCTGATTTCTATCTGTATGAGTATATGTGCCGTATCAAAGTGATGGTACCCGAAGTTTATGGTCAGTTTGAAAATTTGAAAAAATTTGTCGAACGTTTCGAATCATTACCACGGGTCTCGGATTATATTAAGAAGCAAACGCCAAAGACATTCAACGCAGCAATGGCGAAATGGAATGGTTCATATCCTTAAATGCGTGAAATTGTGTGTGTTACTAATCAATCGCATTGATTGATGATTCAAATCATTATTATTCATTATGATATTTTTAGTCTCACTTTTTTTCCAATCAAAAATCAATAAAAGTTTGAAAAAATGAAATTGACTTCTGACGTCATCTTTTGGTCGAGAGAAATTTGTTAGTGTGCCAGCATAATAAGCTTACATAATATATTCTAAGATAGATCTCATGGTTCAAAAAATGACAGCAACAAGTTTTTTATGTTGAAAAAAACCATTCACAACATTTCGATATGGGCGATGGTGATTTTAGTTTGTTGATTGAGAGTGACCTTGAACATTTGATTATCTGAAATGTGCTGTATCCATGCAGTCATTTTGTATGACAAAAAACGAGTATTTTTTCTTTTCTCTCAGTGTAAACATGCGAGAAGAGAAAAGAGAAACGAAAAACATTTGATCATGCCTCCATAATCAATTATCAATCGGTTTTTGTCTCTGAATTGATTTATCAACAAATCAAAGTAGTTGTGTACTGTACAGTTGACATCCGTTTGATTTGATAAACATTTGTCATTTTTGTTTATTTTTCTTTCGCTTTTCATTTCAATTTTTTGCATATAAAAATAGAGAGATTTTGAATCGGTTTTTAAGAAATTTATTTCATTTCTGTTCAAAACAAACCAAAACAACAATGAGCCAACCAATCCTAGGATATTGGGATATTCGTGGTGTAAGTATGAATGCCTTGCTTGTTAATTATTAGATTCACCTGGTTTCTTTTTGTCAAACCGATTAGTATGCACAACCAATTAGGTTGTTATTGACCTATTCGGGTGTTGATTTTGTTGATAAACGTTATCAAATTGGACCGGCCCCAGACTTCGATCGTTCGCAATGGCTGAATGAAAAATTCAATTTAGGGTTAGATTTTCCAAATGTGAGTTTCGTTTTGATTGAGTTTGAATTGCCTTAATTCACTTGCTGTTTATGACTACATAGCTGCCATATTACATTGATGGCGATATGAAGATGACACAAACATTTGCCATACTGCGTTACTTGGGACGTAAATACAAACTGAATGGAAGTAATGATCATGAAGAGATTCGTATTTCCATGGCTGAACAACAAACCAAAGATATGATGGCAGCAATGATTCGTGTTTGTTATGATGCCAATTGTGACAAACTCAAGCCTGATTATCTCAAATCATTGCCCGATTGCTTGAAATTGATGTCCAAGTTTGTTGGTGAACATGCATTTGTTGCCGGTGCCAATATTTCCTATGTTGATTTTTATCTTTATGAATATTTGTGCCGTGTCAAGGTGATGGTGCCCGAAGTATTCGGTCAGTTTGAAAATCTGAAAAGATATGTAGAGCGTATGGAATCGTTACCACGTGTATCGGACTATATTAAAAAACAACAGCCAAAAACATTCAATGCACCAACCTCTAAATGGAATGCTTCATATGCCTGAGTGTGTGATTGACTGATCAATATTTTTCTTGAAATCGGTAGATTTAGAATTTCTTTCTTTTCCCAAAAATTCTTGAAAATAGAAATAAATTTTGCTCAAATGCATTTGTCTGTGTTTGATAGTGTATATAGTGGGTCGGTATATAGCAATCATCTCTCTATATTTTTGCTAACGGTTGCAAGCAAAATGGATCGGGACCCGATTCACTTATATGGTGGTGGTGGACTGTAAATCTACCCGATTCGGTTTCGATTTAGGATCGTTGAGCAAGTTTTCAATATTATTTGTGGTTGTATTTGACAAACTAGAAATTCAACATGAAATTCAATTGGGAACTGTGGCGTTCACGGTCCATTGTATTGACAGCTTTGTCCATATTTCTGGGTTCATTTTTTATATTGATGGGCATACTGAAATTATCACCAATCATAAGCCCGGAAATCCACCGTGAATTACGACGAAATTTCATTCATTTTGCCAAACTAACACCAATTTGGACGACATATTTTGGATGGAAAATACCGGCCCGTTACTATCGAATTGGTTGGGGCACAATCGAATCATCGGCCGGATTTATTTTGATTTTCATACCGTTTCGGCGTTTGAAAATCATTGCCAACATAGTGCTATTGTTGTTAACATTGTTTTCCATTCTAAATCATCACAGTGCTGGACATCGATTCGATCGTATGTTTTTTTCTTTTGAACCAATTGACATTGTTTGTAATAAATGTTTTTTTGTTGTCTATTTTGTTGCCGATAGGTATCGCACCATGCATTGTATTCACATTGATGTTAGCATGTCGATTGGTTGTCGAATATCAAGTTCAACGGCGAACAAATCGAGCAGCATTCATAACATCATCTGTAAATGGAAATCATCATCCGACCATTGATAATAATCACATTGATGATGATGACCAATTTGATGACAATAGAATTGAACAACCTATTAATCATGCCAAAGTTGATTAGATAATTAATTCGAATTTTTTCTTTTGTCTGCTACTGATACTATGACGCCGACTGGTGGAGAAATAAACAAGCTTTTTATTAAAATTAAAAAAATGAAATACCTCATTTATGAAGACTGCAACGCAAAAGCAATGCTGTTTTTTGTCAAACAGAATTAGGGTAGTGGTATTTGTTTCATGGTGGTGGGCATGTATTTATTCGAATTCGAAAAAATGGCAGTGGTTTATAGCTGAATCGAGATTGGATAAATCAGATTGTGGGTGGAGAAATCGAAATGGAAAAAAATCGAACGACATTTTTTTGTTGGAATTTGATTGATGATGAAGATATGATAAGATATTGCATTTGATTATCGATGATAAATTCCTATTGGAATTTATTTGCCCTATGACTATTAGATAATCAAAGCAGTGATCCTATCTAGGGATGAAAGACAATCCATCATCAATATTTTGATTGGCTAACGTTTGTTTTGACTGGACTGGTGCGCCTTTTTTTCTCTCCCTGTTTCAACCCCCGGTCCTAGTGGTTCGAATGTTTCGAGTAAACCAAACAATCAAACACAAAAAACAAAACCTTCTTTTTCAAAAATCACTTTCACAATCAACAAATTGAAATTGTTTTTTGCAAAATAATGATTTAATTGTTCATCAGTTGACATTTTTATAGGACCAGCATCAAAAGGCGCGCGCACAAACTTTTGTTTAAATGAAAAAAGATTGAATATTTCGAATCACATTACCTAACAAATCACCACAATGATGATCCAATGATGAAATGGATTGATAGGAAGAAAATAATTTGAGCATCCATCCATCATGATATTCTACATAGACACAGTGTCTATGTATACCACATAGAGATACACGCATAGAGTATCCAACAACAAACAAATATACCTCTAGGTTGTGTGTCTGTTGAACAAAAAAGATATACTGACTCTGCTATACAGGTCTTGCTCGATAAATTGGCAAAAAATGAATTGCAATTATCTTTGATTTCTCCGATCCAAATATATCCGAAAAATTGACCCCATCCAGGTAAGTCTTGCTGATGAATTGAATTAATTTGCTTTGAAAATGCAAGAAAAAAGAATTTTGAATTTCGGAAATCAAAATCCTTTGATGATTTTTGCCCTAAAACTTTTAATCCTTATCGAAACGAAAAAACATTCATTTTTTACCGGAATTAAAAGTTTTAGCTATAAAATCGAAATTTACTAATGTTTGATTCGAAATAATAATTTCTATTATCAGCAAAAAAGATTGGGACAATTCCAATAATTTGCGGAACGCTGGCTGACTGGAACAATTTGAGATCGAGACATCATGAGTATAAGGAATATTTTTTGTTTGGACACCATCGGACAATCGGTGAAACACCCCGCCAACAACGACAATCGAATGGACAATTTCCGTGGAACAATCATTTTGTCAATTGAATCATTTTATTAATTTTTGTTTAAAATAAAATAGAATATTGAATAAAATAAAATAAATTTTTTCAAATCAAAAACTGGTTAATATAAATATGGTGTTTTGACAAAAACATAGGATTCGAAAATGAACGACGATCAACAACGAGCATCACCACCAAACACACCGCCACCATTGTCGATCGACATTAAACCCTCGATCATTTCATTTGAGGACGACGACGACGATGTTGATGACGAAATGTACAACGACCACGGCAACGGTGATGAGCATTCGAATAGTATTCACTATGATATTATCAACTCTGAAGATGAATTCAGTCTGCCTGATGATTCACAAGATCATCATAATCACGAGCATTTCATTTCCCGTAATCAATCCATTGAAAATATTCGATCCGAAATCGATAATATTTTGGTTGTGTTAGACGATAACCAAAAAGCAATTGCTCCCATTCATCACTCAACAGATAACCAATCTGACAATGATGATGATGATGGCATAATGGAAGAATGTCAGCAAATAATCCGTCATCATTATATGCATCGATTTTGTCGATCGCTAAATGAACAGGATCAGACGCGATATTCGGAAATAAATTTACAATTTTTGAATAATTTGCTAGGACAGGACATTGTCTGCTTTTGTGGCCGGCAATTTCCCTATCGAAACCGTCAGCCATTTTATCAACATCTAGTCATCGAACATGGAACCCAATATTACCAATGTACATTATGTCCGGGCAAATTTTTTCAAACATTCGATGATTGGCTTGAGCATCTCAAGCGTGATGATGGCCTAGCAACAACCTCCAGCGAAAATGAAGAAATTTTGCGGTAACATTTCTTTTTGTTTTGTTGTTGGGAAAATTCTAATTTTTGTTAAATTTTCCCAGATACTTAGAGAATGATAAAATACAAAAACTACGCTTATGGGTGGACGAATTTTATAGGCAAACAATATCAATGCAATTATTATTCATGGACGGTTATCCTTATAAGTGGTGCACAATGTGCACAATCTATCAACATCATCTGGCAATCGTTCCACATATCCAACAATTGCCTCTCCACCCCAACAAACCTCCTCACAGTCTTGATTTCAATAGTGAATTTGAAAAAAGATTTGATCATCAATGCAAACATCTATGTTATTATCGCTATGTTTGTACCGATTGTCTGCAGAAATATCAGTCAACAACTAGTCAACATCCAGATGACGAAACAAACGATTTATTATCCATGAGAACGTATGAAAATTGCCAATTATTATCAGATATCAATCACTATCAACAGATGTTTCTATCACTCATATCGGCCACAACAATTCGTCAACATTTTCAATTGAAACATTCATCCTCATCATGCAAATTGTCGACCGTTTCATTCAAAAGGTGGATGTCAGTCGATTCGTTGGAATATCAGTTGAGAAAATGTTATGGCCATTATGGCTGGAATTTCGATGGGGAACGTGAATCATACGAATTCAATGATATCAGACATTTACTCCAAACACATTTGCTAAGAAAACGCAAAACGAAACCATTCATAAATGTGATGACCGATAATAAATCCGAATGGATTCGAAAATTATATCAACACTATACTTATTGCTCTGCAACAGTCAGGCCCACCATATCTCACAAACATATTGAACAAGTGTTGTGGCATGTCAGTCATTTAACAAAAGAACAATCAAATTCAACCGGAAGGATTTGTACTTGGGAAGGATGTGAAAATATTTTGAAAACTTTGCAGCCAATTCACCTGCACAATCTAGTTGTTTCAAACTTGATGAAACACACCATTCAACGAAAAATATACCTTATGATTGAGGAGATTCATTCGCAAATGAAACAATTGCGTATTGAGTTTTCCAATGAACAAATGATCAATGTTTGTATTCATACTCTAATCCAAATGTATCGATGGATGAGTGAATCGTTTCGACGACAAATCAAACCGATGGATGAAGAAAACCGAGCAATCTATCACCTACAGCAGCATCCCAACTATCTAATCGAATTAATGTTTGAAATATGTTCGAAATGTAACATTCCACCTAGTATGGAATCATCCAAGAAATTTACGGAAGAAACAAATGATGAATCCTTAGTCGGAACTGATGAAAACGATGATGGTTGTTCGATTGATAGTGGCATTCAATTGAGTCCACGATTCGAAAAACAACTGATCCAATTGGCCGGACCAATAGGTATTGACCCTTTACCACAAACAAACATGATTACCAATCAAGGCAAATTGAAACATTTGAAAACAAACCAACTATCACAGTTTATACAGCAAATTGTATTGGATAATTACTTCCATTCAATACGACCAATCGTGGCTTATGATCAAATATCCAAATCGAAAAGTGAATCCAATTTACATCACTTTCAACATGAGTTGAATCTCATGGGCAGCAGTGGAAATGATCCGATCGATCAATTATATGATGACAGTGATGATGTACAATCCCCATCATTGTTAGACCAGGAAAAAATGTCATCCTACATGAAACGATATCTGCGTTTAATCGATATTTATGATTATTCACTGGAAAAAGAATTGACTGAATGCGGACCAGGATGCTCAATGGATAATAACAATAATGACGAGCATTGCATCAATCGAGATATTGTTGGTGACAATCAATTGTTCACTGAAAAAGCCAACCCCAGTAATGATGATGCGACATTGATTCGACGAAAATCGAAATGCAAAAAACCATTAAAACAACAAAAACAATCAATGCTTAGCTATCAAAACAAACAATCAGGCAAAATGAATAGATCAAAGCGACATAGTCATCATCACCATCGAAGTCATCACCATGGTGTCATTATTGATAATGATCATCATCAATATGATCCAATCTTTACCACCAAAACCATTATTGGTGAGGATCATTATTCATCGTTGGCAGTAAAAAGTTTATTACAATCCAATACAGCAACATTGGCTGCTCAAATATCATCATCATCGTCATCGACTTCGGAATCGTCAGCATCCGAATCATCATCAACATCGTCGCCATCATCCTCATCCTCGTCGTCTTCGTCGACATCCGACTCGTCGTCATCATCGAATTGCTCCACATCGAATTCCTCATCGAATTCGTCCGAATCATCATCATCTAGTTCATCGTCCACAACGACGGCATCATCATCAACACGGTCGGATATTGGGAGCTGTTATCTGCAGGATATAAGTCCCGATCAGATAAATTCTGTATTCGATCCGGAAACAAGTTTAGCACTGTGTTGTTTGAGACAGCTCAAAGAAGGCGAATCCACCAGTCATAATAACCTTGACAAACATTTCTCATCCAAACGTGACCAAAAAGAGCAATCACCACCACCAACCAAGATAACGACTAGGAAAAATTCGCCAAAAACCATGACCGAAACTAAATTCGAGGTAAAATTTTTGTGCATTGATTGTGCATTGATTGTGCATCAATAAATCATTAACCAGGATAGGCTGATTTGACATTTTTCCAAAACCAAAAATTTCTAATATTTTTTTTCGATTTCGTTCGAACTAGAAAAAACATTTTGATTATCATGGTGGTCCGCCGCCACGGCAACCAAGCGATGATGATGAAAAAGATTCATTCTCAGATGTTGAAGATATTTTCCCCTCTACTTTAACCCCACCGCCATCATCGACAAGATTGACTACCACAATAGTACCTGTCATTGATGAGGACTGCAATGATGAAAAATCAAAATTATCATCTGGTCATAGTAATTCGCCATTACCGCCAATGATCACCACGACTATGATGAACATCCACCACCCTGAAACGAATATCAAAGTTAATCCACTGCCAATGGCATCACCACCACTACCACCTAGTTCGACACCATCCAATAATGAAGATGATCATCAACAACATGAGACCATCAATTCAATGCAGATCAATCGTATCCTAGATGAAGCTAAATCAATTGATAATTGTAATGGGACTATCATCCAACAACAGCATTTAGCACTCGATCATAATAGTGAAAAAGATTTCTCTACTTGTTCGCCATTAACATCATCTGGTTCAAGTGGCAATATTATCGATAACCCATCACAACATATCAATAATCAACATTCATCCACTAATATGCCAAGAAAAGCTAAATGTCCATCAGATCAAACAACATCACCATCTAATTTGAATTGGGATCAAAAACAATCTTTGCCTTCCAATAATAATCAATCCGCAAACAGTAATGAAGCCAATAATAATTCCATGATGATATCCAAAGCTATTCAAATATCACCCATTCATCAGCAATATCTATTTCCAAAGCGATCTCTGCCAGATGATCAACAACAACAACAACAACAATCATCCACTAATAAACGTATACGTACTAGTGCCACCACCTCCAATACTAATCATAATGATAATTCCATCCACAAAAACACATCAGATATCATAACGCCATCCATGTCACCATTCCAACAACAACAACAGCGACCATTACCACCGGTTCAAGAAGTATTGCAGCAAATTGGTCACGAGCAACCACAACATTCGTCATCATCCACAATGATGGTGGCAAATTATTCTGTATGTCTATCCATTGTTTTTGTATCTAATTGAATTAAACGTTTTGATTAAATAGGGCCAATCATCATCATACATCAATCATTATAATGCCACACAATCCGCAATCGATTCATCCAATAATTCAATATTGCGCCAATCATTACGCCAACGAAATGAAGCATCATGGAATGCATGGAATTCTGGACAACAAATTGATTGCAATGCCATGACAGAATCCAATTGGAATAATCAACAACAACCGATATGCTTGGCCAACAACAATAATTCCATTGGTTATTATTATGCAAGTGGACAACAACCATCCTTGTCAACCAATGCTGGATCATCAATGTATGCTCAAACCGCAACTTCATCAACGGCCACAAGAACTGCCAATAATAATCAATTACCGGTTTATAATGCCAATAATCATAATCAGTATCCGGATCAACAGTATCAGCCAAATCAATATTGTCAATCATCAATCATGGCTGCTGGTGGTGGGGGTGGCTATCACCGTCATTCATCGTCATTGCCATCAGGTATTGTCGCTGCCAATAATACCCCTCCTATATCTAGTTCACCTTGGATAAATAATACATCGATGGCTCCGCCTTTACCCCCTCCTACTTTGGGTGTTACGAATGCTATCGGATCATCATATGGACAATATTCCTATGGACAATCGCCGATGGCTATTAATGATTTATCATCGATGCAACAGTCGGTTGCAATGAATGTTCCTGCAACCCCATCTGGTGGTAGTGATGATGGTGATGAAGCGGATGATGATGGCGATGAAGATGGAGATAACGGCGATGATGATCACCAAGTTGATCGTGATATAATTGAATATAGTCATAATTTATCGAGAGCACTGAATGCAGGTAATGTTATGGGATTATCCAATCAACAACAACAGCCGATTGCTCATTATTCGCAATATGATCCGATTGCTCAACAACAGTCATCAGCCTATTATCAACCACAAGGCCCATCATCATCATCGACAAGGTTTGAATTGATTGTTTTGAATAGCGATAAATTGAATTTATTTGGCTATAATCACGATTCTATGAGAAACAATTACCAATCAATATTAGTAGCAATATCAATATTGGTACTTGTTTCCATAGACTAGACTAACCATGATTTTTAATTTTTCACCAAAAAGTAGCTATGATTACAATGACAATCATTTTTATAAACACCAATATTGTTATCGGCCAGCCAATAAGGACAAAATATTTGAACAGTTATTCAATATTTGTTCCAATTTTTGTCTGCAGTTTTCATCATTGATTGATGACCAGTTGCGTTCGCCATCAACATCAACGACGTGCACCATGCCCCAACAAGAATCGTTAAGCCAGTTATTTCAGATGAATATTAATGCCGTTTATTCAAAATGGCAAACATTTTCTCATTACAATCATTGAATAGCAAAGGGATTGTCAACTTAATAATTTTATTGCCAATATATTTTCAATCTGAAAGAGAAAGAGATTGAATTAATTTTGATTTTTCAAATATGCAAATGTTACTACAGAATCCATTCACCATCCATACATCGGACGATCACATCGGCTAAAGTGACAGCAGAATCATCATCGTGTCATGAGCAATTGCCTTATGCTATCAATTAATCAATCAATCAAGGAATCTTAATCTTTTATTCCACACACATGTTACAAACATTGTATATTGCATTTTGAATGTGAACAAAGGACAATATTTTATTGGTCAACATTTGAATTTGGTGTGCATGTAATGATAATTGATGTTTATTTGTTTGTGCATATTATTATTAAACAACCATACATTTTTTGTCATTTTGGTGAAGCATTTTGGTGAAGATCGATGAATGAATTTGATGTTTTTGTTGTTGTTTTAGATTTTATATGGATTTTCCCGATTCAGTTGTTTGAGTTGTTTACGATTCAGCCATAATAGATAATCAAAGAGAACGGCCAAGGAAACTAGAATGAAACCAAGCAGGAAAAACCATCCGACAGGTACACGGGTGAAAATGGCCGCACAAACCAGATAAACAATCAACAATACAGTATACAAAGTGAATGTGTAAAAATTACGCATTATGATACCCACGATGGCTATTATGCAAAGACAGCATTCTATTATGGCGAATGTTCGCACCGTTGGATCAGTGGCATCCGGAACCCGGATAAATGCCTTGATAAAGTCCAAACCGAATATCAGGATCAGTACATTGATTATTAACGATGTTACATTCGATACGAACAGTATGGCTCGTAATAAACGAAAACGCAAACGTTCTTGCAGTAATTTTGTCATTTTTCTTTCAAAACAATCAAAACGGATATTATTACACAAACATATGATTGTGGAACTATTTCAAACAGTTAGTTATCAAGTGTGAACTATTTCATTCAAGTTTTTCGAATGTGAAGCCAATTCCGAAATTGTGTGAAACAAAACGAAAATTAGAATGTAAAACTTGGCAATCAATTGCCAGTGTAATAAGAAGGAAAGCTTCTTGTTCTTGTTTTAGTTGTTGTTGCAGAACAAAAAGAGACACTATTATTGGACGCCAACGCAGCAAAGTGAGAAATGGCAATTTATTGTCGAACGGAATTGCCCTGTTTTGCTTCTATCGGTTTTGTCGTTAGTTAGTTAATAAAATTTACAGTCTTCAGTCTATCCTCCAACCGGTTTTCCGTTCAAGTGATGGATGTTTAAATAATTTATTATTTCGTCGTTGTAATTGAATTCAATTGATGGCAATTGATAATCACAATAAAACCATTTTTGGATACGTTCCATATTTTCACTTTCTTAAATATAAAAGTGTTGTTGAGCAATGTAATTTTGTGCAGCGAAAGCATCCGCAATGCAAATAAGGTTGTCTCCTACACATGTTTATTGAATGTTATGATCACAACAAAAAGAGGACAAGAATATATTTGCAGTATGCTACTCATTTTACATGCCAAGAAATATAAATAAATAATACCATCTCCACAAGGTTACATTCAATCCAATCAATGAATTAATGATGAGCATTTTTTGGTTATTTGTTTTTGAACATTTGTTGTTTGGTTATCAATTGATTCTGATAACGAAACAACTAGATGATTTTCATCCAGCAACCACCGAATTCTTTCATTTTGAAACGTATGCAAGAGAGGCAGAAAATGAATTGCGTGGGCATATGTGATATTTTCTTAAGTGGATGTCCTTGTTTGTGTTGTGTATTTAGTGTATGTTTATGCATATAACTATTTCCACCCCAGTCATTTCCAAAATTGGTATTGTCATCATGATTGAGAGTCGTGTTTGTTTTTTCCTGTTGAAAAAGGGATAAAATGCTGGGGGCATATTTAGCCGGACATGATATTGATTGAGCCCCATCATTATAATATCGAAATGATGAACGCCATCTGTCGATCGGAAAATATGAGTTTAATATTGAATCACAATTGCTTGATTATTTGATAACAGAATTAATTGTTTTGCCAAAAAATAAAATTTCCAAGATAAAAAATGAAACAATAAAATAAAATTATAAATCAAAACAAAGTATCAATTAATGTTAATGTCTGATTAAAATAATAAAATTTAGAGTGATGAATGATGATGACTAAACATTGTGGCCATATAGTGAACCATCATTGCTTTGTTGTTTATCCAATGACGATAATGACGATGATGAACAATCAACATTATTATTGTTGTTATTATTGTCATTGACATTGTCATTGTTGTTGTTGTTGGCAACTGAATTTGGACTGTCCGAATCGATCATCTGCGCTTTGCTTGCACTGCGGTCCGCTTGTTCATCGATTGGCCGAAACCCATTCATTAGACGCTATTGGTTTGTTTTCAAAAAAAATGTGAGAAATTTGTCATTTAGATAGAGTCTGGTTTACCTGTTGCCATGACAGATTAGAATCTGATTTGATAAATAGATAGTATATCATGTAGATGGGTATCAATATTATGGATACAGATGCAATACAAAACCCAAATAGTTCGCCATACCAGGGAAATGGCTTACCAGCGTATTCGGGGGCCTTATAATCAATAATGGAAAATATCAATATGCCTAACAAACAAGCCGGACTTATATAACACCAAATATAATAAAGCAGCCGTGTCGGTTTAAAGTCCAACATTTCCACCATATTCTGATGAATTCGCTTGCCACCTAGATTGATATAGGTGACATTGATATAGTGATATAGTGACATTGAGTATGTGTTTGAAATATTAAACAAAACCTACCATAAATCCAGCCAAAAGCAACAAGTTCAAACAATACCACAACAATCAAAGTGATGCCACTAGCTGAAAAATTATCCATCAATTGGAAAACATACATTCCACCGGATGTGATCATCGATATTCCCAATATCAGATGGACCAATACCACAAACAATGTGAATAATTTCCGATGCGGACGAAGCAAATGCGGCCATTCATCAACAATACCAGTTACGAACGATTCCACCGTACAGAACTGCGAATCGATTCCCAACACCAATAACATGCCGAAAAAGAGAATCGCCCATAGATTCGGCAGTGGAAGACGTGTAACTGCTTCGGGATACACTATGAATGCCAAACCGGGTCCAGATCGTGCCACATCAGCTATATTGGCGTTCATGGTATATGCCATATGGCCCAATACAGAGAATATGACGAAACCAGAAAACAATGATGTAAACGAACTTAATAGACAGGCTATCAACGAATCACTAAGTACACAACATTAATCACCTGATTGAAAAGGCAAACAAAAGATTTACCGATAGAAATTATGATTAGTGGGATTATAGCTGCCCAGTGCAATATTGGTACCGATGCCGATGCCATATGTGAATAATAATTGGGTGCCGGCAGCAACCCAGATTTTCGCTTCTTTCAGCATATGCCATTGCGGTGTTATGTAGAATGAAATGCCATCGAATGCTCCGGGCAATGATAAACCATAACCAAAGAGAATAGTCAATATTACGTATGGAAACATGGCCATCACCCAGATTATTTTGCCACTTTGGTGGATACCTTTGTAGATGACGATGTAGACCAGTATCCATGCTAGGATTAGCGTTGCGAATAGGTGCCATTGAACTTGACCAACTTCGGCCATATCACCACTAATATTCAATGCTTTACGACTAATATTGTTCATTAAATGTTAATATGATAATGTTGTTAATATGATTACAATGCAAATGGATAATACTTACGCCCAAAATTCTTGCGCAGGTGATAATGAACCAGAAGGTGTTTCAACCAAACCATCTTTATCACTGATCCAACATGCCAAAGTATTCCACGGATTATCACATGACATCCATGGCAGTGGAACACGTAATGAACTGAATAGATAATATAATGTCCATGCAATAATGACTATGTAATAGGTATTACATAGGCCGATCATGATCATCGATGCAAAGCCAACACCTTTCAGAATGGGAATCTGGTTCCAAATCGATACACCACCCGCATGAAAGTATTGACCAAGCGATACCTCCATCAAAAATAACGGCACACCAATCACGAATATGCATATCAGATAGGGAAAGAGAAAGGCTCCTAATTGCATAAAACAATAAATTAGTCAAACCCGAATTCCAATTTGATTGATTGAAATCATTCGATTTTCTAGCCAAATGCATAAAGTGTAATTCGATCTCAAACAAAAAGCATTTATCGCTGACATTATTACTTTTGCGCCTCTTTCATCAACCAAATCTCAGCATTGATTTGATTGATTGACATTGTACTTTGGCAAAAACAATTACAACTAATTGATAAATATACAAACAAACAAATCATAACCTAATGACTGATGGCAGAATGACTGATGAAATGATGGAATAATGATACAAATTATACATTGCTATCGAGAACCGAATACTAATCTATATTCAAGGTTATGCGAATAATGTTCCACATTTTCTATTTATTTATATTGAACATATGGCGAAAAAGAGAACCGAAAGGAAAATCTAATCAATTTTGCTTGATTGATTGATTAGTGATTACATTTGGATAGTCCAACGATCAATGATCATGGCCGAATTGGCACTGGATTTAGTTCTCAATTTCTCTCTCTCTTTCTCGATAATCATAATATGATGAACATTGCGTATTTAGGAATTATGTTTGCAAAAAATAGTTATTCATCATCAGCACTTACCTCCGCCATTTTCATAGCATAGACTGGTTTGTTTGTTTTGGTTTGAGCATTGCATCGATTCCATGGAAAAAAAATGATAAAATGAAAAAATGAAATTTAAAAAACAAATTGCAATGTTAACTTACTAAGGGAAACGCCATACATTTCCCAGACCAACGGCATATGATATGCAGCTAAATATGAAATCCAATTTGCCGGACCATTGGCCACGTTCCATTGCTGATTTATCCGTATCATTATCGATTGTGACCGATGAACTATCCGCTGTTGTTGATGAATCATCATTTGTAGACGATTTTTCATCATCATCATCATTGTTGTTGTTGTTCTGTTTTTTATTTTTGCGATTTTTTCTCGGTGATAGTATAGCTACGGTAGAATTGGTGATTGATTGCGATTCGCTTGGACAACGAACATCGGATAAAAAAGAAGAGGGCGATTTGGATTGCTCATTGTTGTTGCGTTGACGATAAAGTTCAAGAAAATCTAATGGATCGATGGGTGGATGGTCTAATTGGAGGATATTTTTGCCATCAGTATTTTTATCGGTCATAATGAATTGATTTGGTTGTTGTTGGAAATGATTGAATGGATGGGAATCGTTGCAATCAACTGAATTAGCCGAATGACGAGGATGTGCTGCGATTTTATAATGTTGGCCCGACGTTGAGTTGGAATCATCCACTGTGATCAACGGTTGTGAATGTTGGTGTTCATTTTTTGGTGGTGGTGGTCGTGGCTTATTGAAATTTGCAATCGATGTTTGAATGGGCATAATGAAATCATTTTGCACATTATCATTATCATCATTATTGTTATCGTTATGGTTGCTGGTTTGACTAGCTGTTGATGTTGCTGATGGATGATGCACATGATTTGTTTGTTTATTCGAATCGAACCAATGTTGATGATATTGTTGTTGTGGTGGTGGTGGTGCGTGGTCATAATTTTGGTCATAATTTTGATCATCAGCAGTACCTTGATTGGTGATCAGAGATGCTTTACCTTTTCGCAACAAATCAACGAGATTATCATTATTATCATAGCCGAAAGGAAATGATTGTTGACTTGTTAAGGAAAAACAATCAAACGTCATTATTGGCTGATTGATATCGCCAACATTAACGGGTATGACCGCTTTATCGTCATTTTTGTTGGTTGTTTTGGTCAAAGGTGAAATCTGTCCATTTGATGATAATGACGATGAGAGCGATGAATCGGTCGGTATCAATAGGAAACAATCGTCATCGTCATTGTTGTTAGTGATGAGTTGACCATCACCAATATTGCCATTGCCAGCAATTTGATGATGATGATGATGCATGTCTTTTTGATTAATCATTGTTTATTTGATTGATGAAATGATGATAATCAAAATTTGTGGTGGCAAAGATAAAATATCTTTCCAAATCAGCCTGAATGAATATAGTGATACTATTTCGGTTTTGTTTGGTGAATGAAGAAATAGTGAAGGAATTCAGTGTTGATAGATAGAATGGATGGCCAATTGAGTTGGATCGAAAAAATGGTTAGCAACAACCAGCAAACAAAGAAAAATAGGATAAAATATGCTCAAGAAATAATGGAAAATCGATGAATCAATGTATCAAGTTGGTATGCAACAACAACCAAATCAATGCCTAATTGATTTCGATTTGTTTCTTTTCTTTCCGACAATGTGGTGTGTGTGTGAAAAAGTGATGAAATGTATGTTTTGGTAATGATAAAATCGATTGACCTTGATCGATGAATCGAAATTGTCAACTTGATTTGATTGGAGAGAAAATTTCGGTTTGGGCAAGAAATCACAGAAATGGGAGCGGAAGAGAGGGATTCATTTGTTTAAAAAGTAATAATAATCAAAATAGTAGTAATCCATTACGAAAAAGTCTGTGCCAGGGTAATTGGTGGTGGAAATGGATTTCTGAAAGCAAAACTTTACACTATTGTCATGCAAATATTCATCTTTATGTTTGATTTGAATCGATTTGACGATGATGATGATGGTGGTGAAGGTGGACGGAGAGAAAAAACGGCAAACTAAACAATAATAATGATGGGATAAATCATAAAATAATAAGGATGGTTCTATGCAAACTATTTCACTTAAACTGTTCATAGTGGATTTAGTTGTTTGCAAGGCTCAATGATTCTTCCATTCAAAATTGAAACACTGCTGATAAGGATCAATGGACAAAACACTTGTCACATTACACCGATTCCGGTTCACAATGGTTTCAAATTCATTTCCAATCTATTCAATAATTCAAGAACAGAGAGAGCGCGTGCGTATTCAGCGCCCACACACACAATGTTTTTTGGTTCGGCTTCTTGATTGAAATTGTTGATTATGCTTGTTTAGTTGATTATTGATGATTCTGTTGATCACATTCTCCGCGATTAGTGATTCGGTTTTCGAATAAAAATTTTGACCGTAATAATAATTGAATTGTGGTGGCGGTTATGGCGATATTGTTTTGATGCATTTCAACAAATAACAACAGTCAGGGAATATATTCAGGATAAAAATAGCAACATTTTTTCAACCACAAAAAAGTGTTTTTTTCGTAAATCAAAACAAATATTCTTCTCTCAACAGCAGAAATTCAATGATGTTTGTTTGCTGAGGAATTTCACTGAATGATTTTTCTGTTTTTTTCGAAAGTAAACAACATCATTTTTATACATACATTCCAAGCATTTTCACAATGTTCCAGAATCAATGGGAATTTTGCACATCCTGCATTCAAAGGGAAAAAGCGAAAACAGATTGAATTGATGATATGGATAATGACATTGAAATTTTAAAGAAAACATCAAACCAATCGGAAAAGCCTGATGGCACTGGATGGACAGAGAGTGAATGAAGAGAAATTACCGGACTAAAATGGCAACATGATCATGATCAGTATTGATGAAACATTTGGTTGGCGAAGGGGAGGCAGAAAGTGTTGTTTTCTATCTCAGTGATAATATCCGGTGGCGTCTACAATCTATATGATTAAAAATGGCTGTGCCGAATGATGGGAGAGATGTTTCAATACTGCTATGTTATCATTCAACAAATAATAACTAGTTTATTTAGTTTAGTCTATTCTCCCTACCCACACATAGTGATGGTAACTATGAACCGATAGCAGAATCGTGGTGTGTGCTACATGTACTGATTCTCTCTATAGTTTTATTTTTAGAACATATTCTTTTCAGTGGAATCTATATCTAAGTTTGGTGATTGGCAATCGAAAATATTTGGCTTTTTCTTTCCACAATCATCAATCATGGAATCAATCTTGTTCAATGTTGATGATCAATTCCTACACACGAATTATCATCGATATAGTCGAACGAAACATGGAAATATATTTGGAATATAAACTTACCATTTAGTTTGAACAGATAATGATGGTGGCAAACACAGTGCGAAAACCAATGGAATCTAATAAACAGGCAACATTTGCTTTTTATATGTTTTCGTCACGTATGTCACTCAATCTATCAACAAGCGAAAACAGTTTGATAATAAATTTTATTATGCATCGCACACGCCATATGAGATATGGAACAAATCTGTACATCTCAGGTGATGGATTTGTGTTGGACCAGACCATGTGCAAACAACCACAACAACTTGATTGATTGATTGAATATTGACTTGGGATGAATCAGAAATAGCAATAATGAAATAACCAAACAATGAATCACTGTTGCCAACTAATTAAGTATGAATTCATTTGATAATGATGTCGTCACCATCATCAATCATGTTGGGTTAGGTTTTACAACATTAACGACAGACTAAATTAATTACACTATCACCATCATTGATATTGGTGGATCGTAAAAGAAGATGATCGTCATTTCAATCAAGCGTGCGCATCAATCGATCAAACACCTTATAAGTGGAAATTTTCCACCAATTCCACCATGGCGAAAATCGGGTTAAACAAATTATTTTCGCCAAGTAACGGGTTTGCACTGGTAATTCGCATTCCAAACTCTTGGACAACGAATTGGTGTCAAAGCAAAATGTGCTGTTTTGCCAGTAACCGGGTTAGATGTGTGGTGACATTAAGCGATTCTCCATCGGATGATGATTAGTAATTGCAAACAACAAGACCATGAGATATGTTTGTTTGTTGAAGTGGTGATGTTAGTGTCAAATCATATTGATTGCACAATTGAACAATGATTTTATTCAGAAATCAATGAATGTAGGGTATCGTATAACAAGAAAATGAAAATGAAAAAAATTACAAAACAAAGATAAATTGAATTTCAAGTTTAGAATTTAGTTGCATGATTGGATGTTTGTGATATGAATTGAATAAATAAAAGTTGTTATGGTGGGGAAAATAGTGACATATCATTGATTTGTTCATTCATCACGATCATGTGATGAGTGACAATCTATTGTTGTCGTTGTTGATCTGGTGTGTGTGTGTTGAATGATGTAGCTCGATAGAAATATCAAAAGATGGATGATTCGTCAGAATAGAATTGTGATGAGCAAAAATTGAAAAATGATTCACTGGGATAGCAATTTCTGGAAAGAATTTGAAAAAACGGTGGTCATCATCAAGCAATAGTGACTAGAAAAGAGCAGAGAATTTGGATAATGATTTGTCAGGTTGGGCTTCTTGCGAATAATAACTGAAATAAGAATAAGGCTTTTTGAATGGGCAAATCACAAAATGAGTGATCATAGGATTTGATCAATTTCCATTTGTTCGACAATAGTGTCCAATCGTTGTCGATAACGTCTTAATGGACGGTATCGATGGTCGGACATTTTCATTGCCACCGGTTTCGACGATAGTGATAAGCATGGTGGAGCAGTTTGACTGAGAATTGGCTGCAAATAGAATTGAAACGAGCCATCAGTGTGATCATCACTATTATGACTGTGAAACATGTTGATTATGAAGTTATCCCATTCATTATCGTTGTTCAGTATTCGTCGAATCGATCGATTAATACGCATGGCCAGATCGTGGTTGTAATAGAGATGATCGGCATCACTGTCATTGCGGTTGTGGTCGTTGTTGCTGTCGCTGTCGCTGCCATTGCGACTATTTCCACAGCAAAAATTCTATTCAGACAAACAAAATGGAAAATAATGAAAATTCATTGAATTGGCTATGAGAACATTGCTAAACATACAACGAAATTGGGAAAACGTTCATCAAGAAACTCATAGATTTTGATAGCAGCCATTATGAGCAACAGTAAAATGATGAACAAAATGATCATATAAAACTGGATGGCCATTTTGGCAAATAATAGTGATAATTTATTAATTAACAAAACAAAAATTGATAATTTTCAAGCAAAATGAAATGATGCACGAAAACAACAAAGGTTGACATTAAATAAATACAAAAGCAAATTCGAACAAAACATTGGGAAAGCTATTTTGCAAAATAGTCGTCGGTTGCCTAGACATCAATCAATCAATCAACAAGCTACCATCATCCAAACTGAAATCTGGATTTGCAAAAATCAAAATTCAAATCAACCAGATTAAAATCAAAGATCGAATGATATTTCCGATCGAATCTAGTGCAAAACAAAACCAACTCACAATGTGTCCATTGCATTCCATGAATAAGGCGAACGAGGCTTTGATTGCAGGTGAATTCAATACCATTATGCATATCGATCAATTGATTTTGTTTGTTTGCTTTGTTGATGGGGGTTGTGTTTGACCTTTAACTGTGGTTTGTGATCGTTTTGGTTGAGAATGCGGTTGATTGGTGGATGATGATCTTGATTGATATGTGGTTGTCGAATTACAACTACCGGTCGATGAGGATGCCTTCGATGAATTGGCTGCATGATGGTGGTGGTGGTGGTGATTATGGTGATGCGAACAAGATGTGGTCGGTATGGTTGTTGATTTTTGTTGATTACTGTTGCTGTTGCTGTTGCTGTTACTGTTATGAATGAAATGTTGGGTGGGATAATTACAATAATCATTATCAGTGTCGATCATTATTGATGGCGAGTTTTTCTTGGCCAAATTCGGATAATATGGATCAATAATCATAGTCGTGGCATAGTTGTCGGATTGAGGTGGTGCTACATTTGAATGATGACGAACTGATGGCGAGGAGGATGATGAGGACTTTTGATGATAATAACAAGCTTGTTGGGCACATGTTTGATAATGATGGTGATGATGTAATGGATCATTGGCATTGAACGATTCACTTATCAGCATATTATCCGACTGCGCTGGTTGTTGATAGTAATGATGTTGTGTGGCCAAACGTTGTTGTTGTTTATCAAGCTCATCAATATCATGGCCGAGATAAACTTGGCCATGTGAATCGGGATGCAGATGTTGTTGGGATTGGTTGCTATTCTTGATGATGGGAACATAGTATTGGGATTGACCGTTTGATTGTTTGAGTTGATGCGATATTATTTGTGGCGACTTGTTTGGCTGCTGAAGATGAGCATGATGGTTATGATGATAATAGTTGGCCATCACCGGAATCGATTGTTGTTGTTGTTGTTGACCAGATATAGTTGGCTGCAATGGATATGCAACATTAGCAGCAAAACGTATCGATTGAGACTGTTTAGCAGCAGCCGAAGATGATGATATAGGCTGGTGATGGTAGTTATTGCAATTGTTTGCTGATGATGATGCCGATGCTGATGCAGCTGTGGTGATAATACTTTCCTCACAATAAACGTATGAACGGCGATGGATTAGACTGGAGAGACAAAGATTCAAATACTGTTTGAGCATGGAAATGAAGACAGTGAACAAACCTTGGACCGATGGGAGCGCACAGAATCGAATAACAATTGCGAAAAATGGATCCTTGCGAGTAGGGATTTTTGATTGAAACATGATTACGCTTGGAAAAGGATCCTTTGATGTCTTCGTTGGTGGTGAGATTGGACATTATTAGATATGTGTGAAAGCCAGCCAATCCCAATATTGACCATACGGAAAAAAAACATATTATCATTTCCACAACGCTCACAGGCGATTGTTTGACAGCCTCCACAAATGTCATGGTTTTCGATACTGCAATGAGAGAATCAAGTAGCTATTAAATTGAGACAATATTCATACGTACATAGAATGAAATGTGTTATGATGCAGGAAAATACATAGATGCACAAAAATGCCAACGATACGATGAACATGTAGAAAAAACGATAATTACGCTTACCAACACAGTTTCCCACCCAGGGACAATGGTGGTCGAAACGTTCTGCGGAAAATAAAATCATTTGATTGAAATTGACATGATGGACAAGACCTACCAACACAGTTATCACAAAGACTGCAATGAGATGCACGGGGTGGTCGAAATATTTTACAGGTGAAGCAATATTTCAATTTTATCATTTGGTTATTGATCATCACTTCCTTGGTACGAGGCGGCGGCCGCATCGTAGATGAATTACTTTGGTTTGGAACTAAATTTATCATACATTGTGAGATATGAGTGGATTCGATTCGAACAAAACACACTTACCAATTTGTTGTTCGACATCGGCAGCTTCAGCAGGCGTTGCACGAGGCAATATGCCGGGATCGGTAAACGATGTACGCAACAGACAGAACAGAACGAATAAAAACAGAAAAGCAGCAACGATCGGCACCAACGGACTAATCTTATTGGATAGATATGGCGAACTAAATGGTGCGGTTCAACCGAATTACATTCAATGGGAGAATCACTCACTGAAAACTTACTCAAAAATAAAGAAGCAAACACATGTACCGACCAATAATGCGACCGTAAAATAAAAAACAGATATTTGTTTGGCCATTATGATGCGGCCATCACAGAAAAAACGATTACGTCCCGGAAATATCCGATATCGTCGTATTCGACGAACATTTGTGGTTGCCATCGGCGTGCAAGTTGTGGCTGTTGTCGATGCTGATGATGTTGGGATTGGGGCAGCAATGGGTGGATTGACATTGTTATTATCAGTGGTCACCATGGTAGTCATGATAGTGCTATGGTTATGATTATCATTGTTAACATTAACATTGCTATTCACAACAACGCCCATGCCAGACGATGATTCAATACTATTCTGGGTCATGATTGAACGTTTTGGCACATTTATCGATTTATTGATTACAACAATATGGCCAGAGAAAGAAAGTTCTATTTTTACCAAAGAAACAAAAACAATATGGCAAACATAATTGATTGATTGGAAAAACAAATCGATATACCTGGATCGGATGATGAGGATGATAGAATGCTGTGCTATTTCTTTTTGCAATGAAATTATTCACAATTTTATTCATGACGGATGGTCAGCATTGGAGATTTGGGCCATAGAGAATAGAGATGATGATGATGATGACAATCACAACAATGATCACAACAGTCCATCACACAATCTAAATCTAAGTCTTAAAGAAGAATTATGATTGAAATATTTGTTGCATTGAATCAAGTTTTAGTGAATGTGCAAAATGTTAATGACAGTTATAATGCCATCTCATACACTACACAGTCAGAATAATACTATAATAGTTTGTTTAATTTTGAAAATGTCATCCACATGAATTAAATGGTTGCTTCTAGTTTGTCAAGAATTTAATAATTTTGCGAGACAAAAAGTTAATCCGAATTCTATGTGGAATATAGCAAGTAGCAAATATAATTGAATAAGGCTGAGAGAGAAAGTAAAGTAATTTGTTCAATTTAGTGGCCAAAATGAATTGAACTTTTGACTTGAGTTAGTTTGCACTTTATCTGGTTGTTGATTTGATAACAAAGTGAGAATGGTATCTTTGAATATTGATGATTTATATTTGATAATCACATTTTCATATATAGTCAACAGATTTGCTGAATATGCCAGTGTAAGCACGCTGCACAGCAACCAACCGTCCAACCGAATTAAAAATGGCCGAAATGGAAGAATGTTTGTTAGTGACTATTGAATTGGCAATTATATTACATTTCATCTTTTTCTGCTGCTGTCATTCGAGAATCTAGATAATGCATATCTACCTACGGCCAAATGAAAAATATTTTTCAATTTTTCAAATGAATTTTAGTTTTGTTTTTCTCAAAATAAATCTTCACCACAATAAATCATGAAGCAAAAGTTGTTTATCAAAACAAATGGAGAATTGCTTTTTCACACTCAACATTGGTGTAGAATTTTGCAGAATGCCAACATCACTTTAGGTGAAGCAAAAACAAAATAAACAAACATTTGCCAATAATGATTTTGCTATCAAGTCATTGCTAGCATATTGAACATCGCTTAATAGCATACTTTCAACAAACTTATCAATCAAATGGACGGCTTTTGCCGAATAATATAAACATAACATTGTTTCAATGTAATAGTATTGTTGAAAGCTGTCAAAACCGAAAATATTTGCAAAATATGCCAAGCAATCGGAAATTATTGGATTTTGTCAAGGACAGCAATTACCATTTTCACTAAAAATGTGGATGGTGTGAATCAATCAATCAATCGTCAGTGCAAAACATGTTATTATGTTTTGCTTCATAATCAATGTTAGTGTTTGGATCATGCAATTTTCACGTTGTTTATGCGACCGGAAACCAGTCTAATGTATAAACATTTTTGCTGTGTGTGGGAAAGACATATTTTCCAGTTTGCAGTGGATCGATTCAATATTGGTTTGCAATATCGATTCACATGAATCAAGTAGGCAGGCAAGGTTAAAAGTAATTTCAGACCAAACCATTCAACTAGTGATATTTGACTTACATTCAGTATTGATTTGAAGATTTCGCTGATGTTATAATGGAGAAATTGTTGAGACAAACAATATGCATCACATTAACCACAGTGGATCATAATTCATTATAGTCAATGTGAGTGAGTGTGTGAGGCAATGAAACAAGAGATATTATAATGAAACAATTTAGCTGCTGTTTCGGTTCATCATAATAATGATGAACTCGAAAGCAAAATACAAACAACAAACCAAGCAGGATAATAATCATATGAACCATCCACCATTCATTCAATAGTGAGACACAACATCATCATATTGCATATAGCAAAAGTGAAAAAACAAAACACTGGATCCAGTATATCCAATCAAGAATCCACAATTGACAAATTATGTGAGGCAAAACAAACAAACAAACTATGAAAGAAAGAAACCAAGTCTGCTTGCTGCATCAATTCCAACATTATCAACATTATGATTAGCATAATGATTAGGGCCAAGTTGAACAGCGCCGCAATATGGCATATTTTGGTATCTTTTTGGATACTTTCGAGTATATCGGTGGTAGTGGCAGTTCATTGAACATTCATGCAGGGTGTGTTGGTGATGTGGATCGAATCGATAGTTTTCGTTCGATTGCTGCTGGTGCGGGATACATCCAAACACTAGAAGCATTACAACAGAGGCAGATCCTATTGCAGACAGGATTTTCTTTTGCTCATTTTTTTTGTTTCAGATTTTCTCACTTCTAGTGATGGCAGTGGTATTGAGTTTTTTTTCATTCATTTTTTTTTATTTTGGCAATCCATCGTAGTAGTGGTATGACATAATGCAATCAATCCAAATTGCATTGATTTCGAATTTTGTCGAATGATATTTTCACTGTTTGCATGACATGGCCAATTGATACTGTGTATAGGGACCAGATAGTGACTAGATAGTAAAAAGATAGTAATAGATAGGGACCAGATAGTGACTAGATAGTAAAAAGATAGTAATAGATAGGGACCAGATAGTAAAAATAAATTCATTGTTTCAATACAATTACAGATTCATTTCGGTGTTTTAATCAACCCACGATGATTGCTTTAAATCAAACCAAAATTAACAATTTCAAATGGACAATAAAAAAAATTCTGGAAAATTGAGGAATTGAAGATTATAATTGTTATTTATTACATAGAAAAGAATTATTAGTTTTTACAAATTATTTAGAGTATTTACAACAAACAACACCCAAAGACACCTTGAACGGTTATCACGAATTCAATTTTTCTCCAAAGTCACATTCTATTTTAGAAAAAATAAACATTTAAACCAAGTTAAAAAAGAAAAGCAGGAAAAAACTTACATGAATATGGCGTTCTTTAATAATCATAACATTACCCAAACCAAAAATGTTGCGGATGATTTGATTTTGAGTCAAATGAACCAGCAATCCCGTAGTATTCAATATGCAACGAAAAATTTCAAAATTTATTTTGGACTTGCATGAATTGAGCTCGAGTTGTTCATGAGAATTAAATTTCATAACTTTTGATTCAAAAATATTTGCTATGTTTTCTTTAAGTTTGATAATTTTTTGCTGCAATTTTTGTTTGTTGCAAATACGGAATGGTTTTTGCAAATGATCATGTCTTTCAATTAGATGAACAAAAATGAGACCAACAGATACACGCATTTCCGAATCGTTAGAATCAAATAGATTGAAAATTTTATCTAAATATTTGCCAATTATTTTTGTCACATAATCAATATCACACTTGGTGGATAAAAATAGGAAAAGTTTTAAACATAATGATTTCAATGATATGATTTGCTTGCCATATTTATGAATATGGTCTTGTGCTAAACCTATTGATAACAAATATAATAATAATTCTTTCATCTTTTCACAACCAAATTCAGTTATAAAACAACCGATACTGATGTTTTGAAGATGAAAAGTGGTTAAATAAATGAGAAAAAGTAAAGCTGATCTTATTTACCTCAATGATATTGCTGCATTGGATCGTAGTGATGGTGGAAATTGTGAATGTATGACAATGTCTCGCAAAGTTAGATATAGTGATTCAAATTGTGCATTGAATTCATTGCCCATGGTAATGATTGTTAATGTTAAAATATTAATAGACAAGCCTATTTCATCATTGTCATTAGATTTGTTCCTTAGACCCGATTCTATAATTGTCACTAAATTTGTTAAACTTTGGCGGAGAAAAATGATAATCAATTTAGAATGGTAAAATTTAAATAATAAATCTTTCCGCATACCGGTTGTCCAGTTGAAAGCCGAGAAATTTTGTTTGAAAAATTTCAATTAGACATTTATAGTGATTGTGGCGGTCATTTGTATCTGTTAAGAGTTGATGCAAAATATTTGGCAATTGAATCACCGAATCATCAAAAATAACTATTTTCTGTTCTTTTTCTTTGTATCGATTGATTGTATTACTATTATTTGAATCAAGTTTTTTTTCTTCAACAATCTCATTAGCAACATTTTTCATAGAAGTAGAATGACTGGATGTATTATTAATTGCAATAAATGATGAATATCTTGAATTGATTAACTCATCACCTCTGAAATTGGATAATTTTTTTTTAGATTGTTTTGGCTCCAAACCCATCAAAAATGATGGATATCCTGTGTTTAAAAAAAGGAAAACAAGTGATAACGATAAATAAGATAATATTGATTATAATAATAATTTTAATGCATACTAAATAGACTATCTAGTCACTACCTATTCATTATCTATTGACTATCTATTTAACAAATGACCACTTACTATGTTTGAACTTGATCTTTACCATTGATTTGGGCCGACTTTGTTGCGAAAACATAACCAAAGAATTATATTTGAACGTATTAGGTAAATTATATTGTTGATTATTTTGTCTTTTTACAATAATAATAGGTCTTGACTTTTAAGATAATAATACTTTATTTAGTTTATTATACTAGCCAAACTAGCAATGAGCTTATTCGTTACTTCTGCTTCCGTTTATATAGTACTAGTTAACAATTGATTCAGTTCATTAACCAATTAACCAATTAACCAATTCCATTAACAAACAAATTAACCACTTAATCAATTTAGGAATTTTCAATTAGTTTGAGTAATTGTTATATCCACTATATATACTGACCAGTATTTCCTATGAACAACTCTACCAATATTACTCTACCAAAACCACTCTACCAAAACTACTCTACCAAAACCACTCTACCAATACTTGATAATATTTTTATTGAGGCATTATCCCCAAATGGGATAGTATCGCCCAATTGAAAATACAAATTATGAAAAATTAACCTAACAATAATGATTATTGTGACTGTTATGATTGTTTTTTGATGTACCAGATGATCATTCTCTTTGGGAAATTCGTACAGGAACCTGTTGCAGAACCTATCGAATGAATGGATGGATGGTCATCATGTTTGGTAATGTATAGATATTTGATAGATAATGACTAGATAGTGACTAGATAATGACTAGATAATGACTAGATAATGACAAGATAGTCAATAGATAGTAATTGTCATCGTTTTCATTATTCAACTTTGTTGTGTATCCGTTTGTCAACCATAGACATTGGTAGAAATCGTTGATAATGAAATGCAATATTGCAAGTGAAATGGAAAATGCAATCAATTGGAAAACGGTAAAAGTAGAACACAAAAAAGCATTTATTTGAATTGGGACCATTTTTTTGAGAGTGGTGTGATGCCCAACGATATGTGCGCGATGAATGAGCGTTGGATGAACAGCAAGCTAACAAAGAATCTGTATTGATGAAAGTTATCATCGAAAGTGTTGTCTATCTTTAGAATGGATTCATCACGGATAATTCTGGTCAAATAGTGGCCATCACTTTTCCTGACAAGATATTTGATAATTATGAATGTTTCACTAAAGGTTTTCAACATAATTCTTTTGATGATCCTGTTGCTGCAATTTTGAACGCCGTTTATGAGCAACGCCAAAAGCCCAAGCAACTCGCGTTGAAAAGAGCATGCTAAACAGGAAAGTTGTCAATTGTGAACTTGACTTTGTTGTGTGAGCACGTTGTCAGACTCATGATGAAATGAAAGACTTGTTTTTGTTAAACATCGAATTAAGAATTCTTTTTTGTGTGATTATTCTGTTACGAATTAGACTAATTAATTGTCATACGAATATTTAAATGTTTGTTAATCAGGAATTTCAAATGAGTTTTGCAAAAGAAAGCTTTGTTGTGAATTTTCATCATCGATTCAGTTTCGTTTTGTTTTGAGTAAAGTTTTTCCAAAAAATGAAAAATCATTCCCAAAAAAATAAAGATGATGAAATTGTTTTGTTACAAATTCCACTGATTAATTGTGACCCGAATGAATGTTTGTTGATAATTGGAATTTCGAAATAAGTTTTCTAAAAGTTATTTTTTCTAAATTTTCCTTTTTGTGAACACACGCATTTCATCATCGACTCATTTTTTTCGAACAAAATTTTTGAAAAGTGCAAAAT